TCGTCGTGCTTTACTTTCGTACGGTCGGACGCCGGCCCGAAACACAGACGAAGACCCGCCGAAGAAACAGAAGAAGACTTTGTCGGTGCGGCGCACTTTTCTTTTAACGTATGCATGAAAGATCGTCTACGCGCGATGCGGCACGCCGGCGTGTGTGCTTTATTGTGATCGTAAACTTTTACGAGAGATGAAGCGAGACCGCCAACAATCAATTAATTAATATCAAACGCATGCGCGGCGCAAAGCGCGGAAAGGCACCGATCGACGTTGGTATCTACGGCGTTATTAATTGTCTTTATTAGAAGACAAAAATTATTCGTAATAACGTCATATATTTTAATGTAATTAATCGTTCGCTAACTGCCTGTCAATTTTGCGCGCAAGCGAAATGGGAAAAATTCAAGGGTCATTAGCGGCGGGGTTATTAATGTACTTTTCATTCGTTTAATCATTTCATTTTTAAAATATTTATTTTCATGTTTAGGAAAGCATATAATTCACTTAAACACTAATTTTTGATTTTTTTTTGTTTGAATCCTTCAAAATCACGTTTTAAAAGATAAAAACCGTTGAAAGATCTTAAATTTTAACGGTTTTAAGAGTATAAAAATTGCAGTATTGCTGTAGTACCCCTAGAGACTAATCAATAAACGTTACAAACGGTTTTTCCTTTATTTAAAGATTTTTAGTACTTTCTAGAAGAAACCGTTAAAAAACCGCCATCAAAAATAACGAATTTTGGGGGTATCATCTTAAAATGACATTTTATTCTCAGCTTTTTATCCAAATAAAATTTTATCACATTTTTTGAGAATTTTACTTTCCCAGAGGATTAAAAACCGTTGAAAATAAAATAGCGGTTGTCAAATTGAGTTTTAGGGTTGAAAATCTTGAAAATCTAAAATTTTTGCAGATTTATCACAGTTTTTGTTAAAACCCTAGTAAATTCCAGTATTCTGCACTTTTACCCTAATTTTTTAGACTTTTTTATGCTTGGGTATTTATTACCGTATATTTCTCACCAGTAAAACGCATCTTTTACCTTTTCACGTCAAAACAGTTTTTTGGATAAATTCGATTTTTAGGGTTTAAAACCAAAAATTTTACCAATTCATGAATAGAGGGGTGAATTATTGAGGGGTGCTTTAAAGTGCAAAAAAGTGCTTGTGAACATTGAAGTTCAAAGGACAGTTTTCAGAATTTTGCAAATTTTACCCCTCAATAAGTTTTTTTTATAGAATTTAAGAAACGTAAAAAAAGTAAAAAAGTGCAAAGTGCATTGTCTGCTACCCCTGGCTATAAAATCGCAAAGTGTACATAAAATTTTTTGAGAATTTTTAGTTTCTCACGAAAATTATGAATAAAATCCGTTTTTTTACTCCTTGAAAAAAAAACGTTATTTTCAATTTTAAAAATCAATAAAATTATCGTTTTCATCTTTTATCCTTCATTTTTTAACTGGTACCAACCTACATATTTAAATACTGATTGGTTGACAAGTATATAACCAGTTTGTACGCAGATACGCAGGTACCTAACACACACACATGTAAATGATGAGGATGTAAATTTTTTATGTAAATCAAAGTTGTCCTCAATGCCACGATCCGATTGGTGAAAATTTATGCGTAATCCAATAACGAACGGTTAAAGCGGGCACGCGTCCGACGCGCGTTGCATGCGATGATGAAAAGGGGTGCATGCTGCCAGCACCCTTTTTGCTCTCAAACAACCCTTACATATGCCGTATTTTATATTGCGCTCGTGCGGATAGTAGTAACACACGTCGCCGCATGTAAATAGTAACACAAAGCGTCGCACACAATAGGGGATGGAATAGGAATGGAAATCGTAATAGTAATGGAAATAAGGGGTGAAAAATGCAAAAGTTTAAAATGTGAAACCAATGTGAATGTTTTAGAATCAAAAGTAGCTATATAAATGTATGTTACAATGAAAAAATGGTGAAAATGTTCAAAATGGCGATTTTTTTAAGTCTAAAAGTTTGGTTATGTTGTTTCAGGCTATTTGTAGATACGATTATTTTTATTTTTAGCTATTTGTGCACAAAATAAACAATTCTTTCTTTGATTGAATAAAAAATTCGTTTTTATATGAATTGTACAAACAGTTGTAGATTTTTTTAAAGCTAATAGAGCATAGAAGCTTCTTTTAAAAATATTTTTGCCCTTTGAATTAAAAATAAAAAAATGTCTTAAGATTCGACTTAAGCAAAGAATCAACCTTTAGATGACGTTTTTTAAGATGTGTTATTTTGTTCATTCGTAACACTATCGTTATACAGCTAGTTTTTTGTTAATCTGTTATCCCTCATCGAACAATAGCGAATTTCAACCCTGAGGCATTAATGGCGGTTAGCAAGCCATTTCTAGCCGAGCCAGCTGACAGCGAGACATCCCCGTCACGGTTTAATTCCGTAGTGTAACCGAATCCAATGCCAAATATCAAAATCTGCCGCTGTTGCTGCAAAAAAAAAACCGAAACATCAAACATTTTTTATGAATTGCACAATCGTAACTCAACCTTTTCTAACCACCAGTCGTCGAAAATCTATCAAACATGTTACTCTGTTCAAAACTGGTGGCTGTAGACGCGTGCTGTTGTGTTTGATGAGCGAAATTTCGAAAAAATTTCAAATCGCCGAGGGTTAGCATGTTTGCGCACGTTTAAGGGTTGCAGACTGCAAGGGTGGTTGCTCTCTCAGGTAGACACAGGCGTGTGCGCACACAAAGGAAATAGTACCACATGTTTCGCCATCAGCAACGTATTTTTTTCATTTACTACCCTCCCAAGAGTGGTTTCGTTAGCAAACGGTATCCAGATACGAAAATGTAACATTTAAAGTGAATTTATTTGATTTGCCTATCACACTGCGCCTGAATAAAAAAAGGGTTGGTTTTTAAAGGGTGAGATTTTTTATAGGGGTGATTTACATGTCTAGGTTATATATTAGCTGCACATAAAAATTCCGCGCTTGCGATTGGTTGAAATATCGTAGGCTTGCCACCTCCCGGCGGCCCGGGGTGTATGCAGATGAGGGTGGCATTTCCGCGTCGATTCCGACACCGCATAATGCCAACGGAGGCCGGGTTGCGGCGCGCATGCCCCCCGCGAACCGATATAACCCGTCCCATATATCGATATTATGTAAAACGCGTGCGCGCGTCGCTGCCCCCGCCGCCGACGGGTTTCGAAGGCGCTGAACTCACCGCCACCACACGGCGGACGCGCTGCAGACGAATCGTACAACTCTTGTAAAATGGTAGTGGTTATTTCCTTTGATATTTTATTAGATTTTACTGTAAAATAAAATAAAATCGAAGAGATGATGAAATTGTAAATGTAAATATTAGATTTTAAGATTGTAGGTTCCGGGAGACTAGTTGTATGTTCTGGGGAGGCATGAAAGTGAAGCGACGAAACATAAAAGCGCACTTCCTGTGAAAGGGGGTTGCGGGGGTGAAGCATCTTTACTTTCTACTTGTTCTCCGGGTGTGCTTTCACTGATTTTGGGTCGTGTGGACGTAACACGTGCTCAAATAAGAAAAATAAAAGTTTTTATCTATCAGAAAGCAAAAATAAATAAAAAAAACGAAAAATATTTTATTTTGCTGAAAATGAAGAAAATTTAAACTTTTTTCGATTTTTTTTTGTTAGGGGTAGTTTTGTGATGGCGCCGTCCGCAATTTACTTAGCCCCGCAATCGAATTGGGCGAATCTTCAAAAGGAATCTACGTACGCAGGGTTCTTTATGCCGGGGGCGGTGGTAGTGGGTGCGTTTGCGATTAGAACCCTGTGGGGGCAGCGCACCCGCCACCACCGCCGGAATCATTCACCTTTGTGCTCACGCGGACGCATTTATACGTAACCCCCATTTCACTTTTATTTAACTCGCTTTTTATCTCCTCTTTAAATCACAAAACGCGCTCTCGACGCACAATAGATTTCTACCGCCACCACCAAACCGCCACCATCAATGAAACCGAGGACTGCTGGTCGTGGCTATCGACCACTTCTCGGACCAAACATTAAACGTAAAATTGATTTTCTTCACAATTTTCAATCTTCAATTTTTGCTTTTAATAGCGTTATTGAAAATCTAACCGGAAATCAATGTTATTCTTATGGGAGAAACCGTTAAGTTGAAAATACGAGTAAAAAATTCAATTTTTACCTGCGAAACGTATTATTTAATAAAAAGCTCTTCAGTATGATTATTGCTTTTTACACTCTGGTGTCATTTGTTAAGTTGAGGGACTAACAACCCTCGTGGCGCCACTTCTTTGAAACAATTACCACTTACCACATTTATGTCATTTCATCAACCAGTGGATGCTGTGTTATGATGGGAACAACGTGACCTTGCAGTGACTTAAGTAGTCGAAAAGTAGTCTAAAATTACTTACTGCCCGAGACGCTGCACGAAATCCATTTTGTTTAATCATCACACACTTTTTTTTCTTAATTTTACATCGGAATATATTTTCATAAATAAATCTATTACATGCATGATTAATTATAATTATCTGGCATGATATTAAAATTAAAATCACGATTTTAACTTTACTTAAACATCCGTGTCAATAACCTAACCTAACCAAACCTAAAAAATTATTTAAATTTAATATTGATGTTTGTAAATTTTCTTCCCCATCCCCATGGATCTTAATCCTATTACTTCTATTAGAATCGGAAAGTTTCGTGTAGATTTTTCGCATGAAATGAATGAAGGAGAAACAATGCGCCGTCGTGTGCCGGACGCTGGTCTTCCACCCCTAGCGCGGGCGTACTATTGATTAGCATCATGGTCGCCCTCCAGCATCCTCGCAAAGGATTTTCGCCAACTTTGTCACCGGAAAACTTTACTTCAAACACACGCGCTTGATTCTCTTCTCTTTTTCATCGGATGAAAGTTTTTTTTTTGCTTTGTAGACTGTATTGAGGGCTGATTAATTTGAATTTGGTGTGTTTGTTTGCAGGGAAGTTATGGCTGAGCGAACCGGACGTGAATTGGCGCCAGGACATGCAACTGCCGTCGGCGGAAGAGTCAAAATTGGCGCTGCACGCACGCCTTGGACTTTCACCAAGTAAGTCAATAGATAAAATAATATTAGTTGATAATTTGTAGTATTAATAATGCACATGATTGATGCGAGTCACAAAATGATTCGTAAATTGGTAAAATTAGAAAAAAATAGACAACGGCGTCGATTTATCATTTCCGCCATCCACTGTCAATTTTTGAAGGCAGCGGAGATTTCCACCCCCAAAAATTGGGAATGGGGTCTGTATTGTTATGGCGTTCATTGTGGGCGATGACAGATTATTAACGCGAGTTCTATCAGCATCAGCAGCATTTACGCGAAATCAAAATATCGCTGACTCACCCCTTCACCCTGATTCTAACAAACACTGTATTCTTGTTAACGTCACTTATCACACTTTCAGCTTCATAGCTTAGGGATTTTTATATTTTTATTCTTGGCTTGGTAACCGGTCAAAATTAGACATAATAAAATATTATTTTATACAATTTATACAACATATTCAACATGTCCATAAATATTATTCAAAGAGGGTGATTTTATCATAAAAAGGGTCCTGAAGGACAACTTTCTTGTGAAGGATAGTGGAATGCAAGCAATGTCCGGTCATCGCATTTCGATTCAGTGCGATAGAGTGAAGTGAAGAGCGGGCAGTGCATTTACAAGATATAAAAAGGATGTAAATTAGGGTCGTCCCGTCGATAAACGACGTGCGTGTGTGGCGCGAGGGTCCCGTGGGAGTTTAAAGTATATGCGCGTTTAGGGAACACTTGACGCGTCCCTTTCAACTGGAGACGTTTTTCCGCACGCGCTGACGGATTATCCAGGCTGAAACGTGAGACATTTAACACCTTTCAAGTGCTACTTAAAAGTTTAAAGTATTTAAAGGGGATGAAAAACATGTTCATTACTAGCACCATCTATGTTACAATAGTTTAGGATTATATTGAGCTAAAATTTTGATTTATTACGAAATTATTAAAACGTTGCGTGCCATGTGAGTTTTATTTCATTTTTTGTTTCCTGCTGGATTAAGAGAGGGTTGTTGAGACACCCTCTGTCAATTGCAATAACGTTGCCTTCAACTGGTGCACGAAATAACTCAGTGTTCCCTTTTCGTGTGATTCGTTTCCTCTTTGGCACACGACCAAAATGGAATAATAAAAACCGAATAGCGCAGCACACAACAGGTGCCTCGGCGTTTATGCTAATCACACTAAGTGGAAAATTATATGTTTCCGAAACGGTCGATGTGGTTAAATACGCAATTTGAATAAATTTAACTACGCGTGTATGTCGAATGTTCACTGATTTTTTCACACCTTGCATTCACGTTTAAAAAACTTAATTTCCGTCTGTAAATGTATTTTAAACACTTAAAAAATTAGTTAATATTTTTATTACATCATATTTCTGTGCATATTGATACTGCGTTGTATCCAAGTCGATAAAAAGTTATTTTAATCATCTGACATTTTATCTGTAAGTTGTATTATATGGAAAGGTGTGTAATAAGTAAATTACGCGTCACTCAAAGCATATATAAATATATTGACTTAAAAATTACTCAATCCAGATTTTCCACTAAACTTCAATACTTATAAAATGGTACTTACGACTATGAATACGTCGTGAATCCAAATTTACCAAAAAATCAATTTAGTAAGTACGATGAAATCTAGATATACGAAATAAAATGATAGGTGAATTTGTGTGAGTGCGTCGTCTGTTTAGTTAAGAAATGCGTAATAAATGTTTATTTAACGCGTTGTTACTTGCACTTTTATACCAAACACGAATTACTAAATAAATACGAGATACATAAAACGGTATTAGTTATGTATGTGTCTTAAATAAATAATGAAGGCTCCGGAAGGCACTTAAGTCGAATTCCGATCGATAATATTTGTGTTATTCATAATATTTTGCGCTTATCTTGCCGCACATCCACATGTCAATAGACAACGCATAAATAAAATGCTTGAAAATTAATAGGAAAACACGAAAACATCTATTGAGAATTTATTTATTAGCCATATTATTATATAAAAAGTAAAAAAAATAATTTAATATCAAGATTTTATTTAAAAATTAATAAAAACTAAAAAAAGTTAAAAATTAAAAATAATTATTTTGAGATTTATTGAAAACAGACTGTATAATACACGCTTAAATTTAATCGAGATTATTTAGTGTATTTTACAGATAGATAAATTACCTTGAAGTGGAAGGCATTGAGTATTGAGTATTTCCATGTATAATTGGCGCCAGGATTGACTTTTTAAAACGTCTTACACTGATAATCCAAAAAATCTTTCCTAGTGAATCAATGGAAATCCAAAACTTGATAAATACACATATTTGCTAATATTCCAATTAAATAGTGATAAGCCCTATGATAAATACAACTCATACTATTTTCTACTATATGTTTACAATTATTTCGCAGAATTAATAGATAGTGTCATAAATAAATTTAAAAGTTAAAAATTTTATGACTGATTGTTGATCATCCCACAATGCGTTAACATAACTTGTAAATTAAATTGATTCATCCACGTGTATCAATTAAACCTTTATAAATATGTAGAGATAAGAATATTGTTAATAATAACACCACGAAAGCGTTATTTTTATGTTTTATGATGATAATTGATATTAATTTTCAAAGTTGCATAGTTTAGATGCCTGCGATGAAAAATGAGGAAAATTTTCGCTGGGATTTTTTCTTGTTCGTTTCGCTATTAATAAATAACCGTCCATTTTCGCCAATTTTTCCTGTCCCCGGCAATTTTCGTAATTTAATACGACGTCCCGATTATATAGGGGCTGTAAATAATGTCGGGGGCTGCTTTGGCGCGCTCAAAGTTTGCTAATGAAATTAATTAATGTTTTCACAAAGTTTCATTTCGGAGGCGGGAGGCGGCGGCGGCGGCCTTTTATGTGAAAGGTTTAATGTCTTTTTGATAAATTGACAGTTATTAAGTTATTAATACTGATATGGTTTTAGCACGCGATCAAATTGAAATTGAACACTACGAAACAATACGAGGCGTTATCACATTGTTTTCAAGAAATTCATCTTGAGTGTTTACAGTTGGAAATTTAAATTACAATTTATTATTAAACAGATTAACGTGTGTTTTGCTATTTTTGTTTTGAAATAATTGTAGAAATAAACAGTTTTTTCTTCAAAAATGAAAAAAAGTAAATTTTGCGACTTTTTATTAAAATTTTAATTAAGAAGCAAAAAGTAGATTTAAGAAAGTTTTGATTAAATTTTTTTGCAGACGAAATCCAAGGCCAATTTTCGATTTTTTTAAATTTTCAATTCTTTGTTGGAATTTGGTATCAACATCCAACACACACATTTGGTATTTCGTCCACTTTGTCGTCGCCGGCGAGAGCTGCATAAGAAAGTATTATACAAACAATGCATTCCGAAATGTCGGTAGTAATCGAATGCCCATTCGAGCATTGCTGCCGTGTGTTTTTTCAGCGCTGCGTCTTGAAGTCCGAGGGGTTGGACGCCCTTAGCATTTAAAGTGATTTTAAATCAAATCATTTACATTTTCAAAAGCCGAGGCCGAAATAATAAAGAGAGGAAAAAAACGCGCTCGCGTGACGCAAAAAGCTTTTCCAAACGCAAAAGAAGCGCAAATGTAAATGTATGAAAGCGGTGGTACCTTTCATCTGGATATTGTCGGTTACTCGGACTCGCAGGACTCGTGTTTCATTCATCAGTTTGCCGTTTATCGATTCATCAATTCATCGAATCCTTTACGTTGAAGTTTTCTACTTCAAACGCAAAGAACATTTGATATTCAACATTCAACATATTTTTAGTAACGGAATTAATTAATATTTTAAAAACTCTTTGCTTTTGTGTTGGTTGCGAGCGTAATTTTTCAATTTTGCGAGCTAAATACTTGATGTGCACATAAATTGTCGTGTCGCAAATGTCCCTGGTTAATATTGATATCCGGGTGAGTGAATTTATCGAGTGCGCCGGGGCCGGACATTTCAATATATGTTTTATCGAATGTGTGTGCGACCTGCTATGACCGTATATCAAGAGGGACTATCATGGCAAGGTGCTGCCCGCCGGTCATTTGCGCCGAAAGTCTCGCTGCGCGCTCCCCCAGCGCGCGTCGGGGGTAATATATGAGATATGCTCGTTCGGGGCGCACCGTATGGTCAGCTCAAAAATAAACTACTCCAGCGGGCGCACGCCATCAGCCTATACGGGTTATAGGGAAATGAAACGGCGCGATGGTGCCGCAAGCCGGAGAGATGAGGGTGTTAAGGGTGGCTAAACTTTAAGTCACCGGACGCAACGTGCGGGATGTAAAACATAGACATTTACTGATATAAAAGCCAATTGGACGTTTTTCGGAAAAATATGTATTGAGGTTTATTAGAGAAAAAAACATAAGTGAAGAACAACGGTCTAAACGTGCTAGTTTTGTTAAAATATTGCAATTTTAACAACAATTTACAGTACAATAGATATTGATAACAAATTTATACGTAAATAATTTTTTTATTTTTTTTTAATTTTTAAGTAAAAAAATCATTTTTTTTAGTTTTCGACCGTAAAATCATTCCTTTTAAAATGTTTATAATTTAAATTTAAAGAACTATGCAAATCTCACCATGGTAAAACCCAAAAAGTAGCAACTTTTTCCGTTAACACTTGAAAATATTAAATTACCAGCGCCGCTCATTAAGATGCGCTCGGCGCGCACTTTGTTCTCCGCATTGTGGCAGCGCCTTGTTGATTAATTCATTTCCGAAGCTCCGGGAGCTGATTAGCAGCGCTTCGAAGTGCTTAGCCGCTGTGCTTCACTTAATTACGGATGGTAAATTGCTCATTTATGCCGCATGCAAATGCGCTTGGGCGCATATTAATTAACGCCCGCTCGGCGCGCTCGACCGCGTCCCGACAAATTAATGCAATGTGCATTAAGTATTAAGAAATTAAAGAAATTACACAAAACTAACTACGAACAAAATTTACATTCAATCCGCCAAGCAACAAACCACTCTATTAGAAAAAAAGCAGAATTGAATTTTGATGCAGAAATTAAGCATAATTAATGAAATAATTAATTAGCGAATTATTTTTGCATTTGATTTCGCACAAAAGGATTTACATATTGCAAGCGTAAAATATTATGCAGTTTATATTCATTTTAGACTAATTTAGATTACTAATAGAACTATTCCAAAGTTTTATCAGGTTTAAGCCCCATTTAATCCGAGTTATGAGGTGTAAATCATTTTTTCAGATTATAAATAGAGAAAAACATTTTTTTAATTACATTCTTCATCATTATATATGTTTTATCTTAATGCTGGTTGGATTTAAATAAAGCGCGCATTGCGACTCGAGAAGAAATGAAGGAAAATCGTAAAAATTAATGACAAATGTATAATAATGATACAATGTGGAGTCGAGTGTGGTTTTTAATGATTACTTAACACGTAACCAGACACGAACACTACTTTTATATTAATGAAGACTTTTTGGAATCCCGGCGCAAAGCATACACTCGTTTGTTATTAAAATCTACGAAATTTTAATTCGTCCGTTGAATCGATACACGCCGATCGATTTTTTTCATACAAAAGAATTAAATATATAAGGGTAGCTTTTTTACCTGGTGATACCTGTGATACATAACGTAAAAAATACAAAAAATTGTAGAGGGGGATGGGTGGGTATCCTCTGGCTTTTCGGCGTGTTGATGAGTTAGTCGAATGTGGCCATCCACTACGAAAGCAACCGAAGAGAAAAAAACACGTGAAGTAGATCTCTTTTACTGAAAGCGTTGCGCTTGTGTTCGAGAAGTGAAGTCGGCGAAAAGAAACGAGAAAGAAGTGAATGTGTTATGGACGAGTGGTGGATGGGGTGAATACATTAAGGAGTATATCAAATGTTGACCACTGACCACCCCACCGGTACGATTCGATCAGTCCGCGTTCGGCACACGAGCACTCAACATCGACAACTCGTGATCGAGTAAAAATAAAAATTTTTCGAAAAAAAATTTTTTCACAAAAATATTAAAACCATGTCAATGAATTACCTGTGTGTATTCATCCCGGTGATAATCGCAAGTGCAGTGATCTACGTCATCATCAAACAGTGTCTTATTTTTTTGATCTAAACAAAAGAGCGAAAAAATTATTTATTAGTTTGACCTAAATATTTTATCATTCATACTTTGAATTATAGAATCAATATTAATTTAACGCCGACGGGTTTTAAAAAGGCGTCTATCTTATCACTTGCAACCTGCGAGTAATCTCTTTACCATACGTATATGTATATATGTCTATATTACGAGCGAGGAGTACCTAATGTAAACAATCGTTTACATCTAGTTGAATTGGTGAGACGTAGTGAGCTGATCGAGACGACGATCGATTGATTAATAAACACACGTTTACACCGGCTGAGAGTGTGTTAGTGTGAGTGTGAGTTTGATACACCTGAGGCGCGAACTTCATGATGATCACGTCTTTACTCAACAACGACGCGCAGCGCTCGCCGCTGCTCTTCTACGAGAACGCCTTCGCCGCCCAGGCGGTGCACCACCACCAGCATCCTAATAATAATAATGTCAACGGCATGGCGGACGAGTTTACCTATCAAGACAAGTGCAACTTTCTTTTTAACACCGGCATGTTACAGTACAGTAAGTGAAGCATTTCATTTCAAAATTCAACTTACCGGAGTTTATTTTTGGTTATAAACAGTTTTTAATTGCGGAATTGGAAGAAAATTAATCTAGATATCAACATTTAGGGAATATTGAGGTTTATTTAAGTCGTAGAGGTGTGTTTTATTATTTTAAAGAAGAAATTCAAGTAGAAATAAAGAAATTTTTAACGTTTTTATAAAGATTTGTGATTTTAGATTTTTTTTCGCAAATTTTTTAATTTTTTTCTCAAATGGTTAATGAATTTGGTATCAAATAACACAAAAAAATATAGAATTAAATTCTGCACAACGGAGTATCATAGTAGAATTTTAAATTATAATTATCAATGATTAAAAAATTGATTTAAAAAATTATTTGCATTGATTTAATATTAATTTGGAGTGCGTAACAAAATAAAAAAAAAATTTAGAAGTAAATACTCTAAAAAACAGTTTTTTACCAACTTTAACACATTTTCTCTTGTATTTTAATTTTTTTATATAATTTCCAACTATAATGGAATAATTAGAGTAATAAGTCATAATTAACATTTAATTAGTCGGGCTACACTTTAAGAAATAAATTCATTTCAGACTTCAGACTTTGCGCTTGTTCTTGTTGTGTTATCAAACGTGTTCATCATCATTAGGACGGTCATTAAGAGATTTCAAAATGATTTATTTCATTAACATACTAACATTGTTACGTTTTAGCATTTTTAACAATCGAAAAAAAAAATTCAATGCGCACGAAATCACATTTTAATTCAAATTTCAAATAAATCTAAATTTAAATTGAAGTAATTTCTAATGAAATCAATTTATTAATAACTGCACGTGTCTATTTTTATATTTAACATTTGAATTGTGTTTATTGATAAGCAGTGGCACTGTTTGATTAGGTAATTAATCAAAAGTGAAAATTTAAGTGGCCCGTTGTCTGCAACATATTAGCTACAGTTATTAATAATATAATATATTTAATGCGACTTAATTTAAGTCGACTCGTTCACACTTTGGAGTGTTGTTTGCTCCGTCGTTTTATTGACTCTTTAATATTTTATCAGTTTTACATAAATTTGAAAGTATCTACACGTAATTGCAGAGCAAACACTGATAAATATTCGTTTATTTTTTATTGATTCAGGTATTACCCAAATTTCGATATCTTAATATTTAAACATGTTTTTTCGGCAAGATTGCCGATTTATGACGCGAGTAAATTTACCCAAAATGTTTAAAATAATATTTATTAGGTAATAAACTTTCCAGACGATGAATCGAAATTCATTTGAAATTAAAAACTCAAGATAAAATGTAATAAAATGTATTGAAATGTAATTCATTTATGAGTTACTAATCGGATATATCACCTCATCATGATAAACAATAAGTTACTGCAAAGGGTATCCTTGATCGCCGAGATTGATATCAGCTTGGAAGATGAGTTAATTCACATATTATTGCATAAACAATTGACTTTGCGAATTAATCTAGACGCCATTGGAAATTATTGAAATACGTATTCAATTTTAATCAATATTTCATCATAAAATGAGTTTATCTTTGAAAAAATCAAACTTTGACATTCATATTTCTAGAATCATGCTGATTAGTAACAATAATTTAAGTGATGGGTTTTTTCGTGGTGATTTTATGGTTATTGATCATATAAGTAAATTAAAAATAGAATTACTTCAATTTTACTATTTAGACAATTTAACTTGCTTATTTTATAGAGAATTGTCTGCAGATTAAGACGCTGAGATTCGTTCCTTTCTATCTCTTTTAGTTTACGAGATATTCGCAATTGAAATAAATCGTTAAAAACTGAAGAATTTCAATTTTAGCATTTTCAGTCGCGTTTTTCGACTTTTTGTCCCATCAAATTAAATTATTTTAAATTACCATCTTATAGAGAATTTTCCGTAGATTAAGAAGCTTTGATCCGTTCTTGAATATCTCTTTTAGTTTATGAGATATTCGCAATCGAAGAAAATCGAAAAAAAATTTAAAAAATTAAAATTTCAACTTTTTAGCACTTTCAAACACGATTTATGACTCTTAGCACCCTGAATTTGAATTATTTTCTTGTTTTATCTTATAAAGATTTTTTCAAACTTCAATAATCTTCAATTCCTTGGTTTCTAGCGCTTTTAATTTCAAAGATATTCATTACCAAAAAACATCAAAAGATGAATTTTTCAAATTTACATTTGTTTGATAAAAGTCAAAATAACCAATTTTAAAGTCCTAAAACCACACAAATTTTATTCTTTGTATTGACGTATGTTATATTACATACTAATTTTTTGTGTTTAAATGAAATGATTCATAAGCATGTCGACATGTTTTGCGGTCTGTCGGAAGGTTAGTGCGGTAGGCTTGTGATGGAAAATGCACGAAGGACTTGATGAAGATTTTAAACATTCATAAAGCCAAGACATATTCATATTCAGATGCGGGGTAACTCGCCCCCAAACCGCACGCGATTCAATGAAATATGAATGCGACCAATGCTCAATGCTCATGCAAATGTCAAAACTCCAATGTGCATACCGCAATACCCCACCAACTAATAAATACAAATTAGATTACACGAAAACAAACACACACAAAAAAATCACCTCCAAAATATTTATTTCCATAGTTTTTTGCTTTTATTATTATCTTTTGCTGCGTGTCTGTGCTTGGTGATTATTTTTTATTACCCACACCGGCGTAAATGGCTTTTCGATCCAGGTGCATTATTGATAATGTCGTTTTCGTCCACCACATACATACACACACTCAATACTCAATACTCTTCTTAGGTTTTCCCAATTTCCATTCGGCCGCTCGCCTTTTCATTTCCTCTTAACATATTCGCCCTTCGTGCGCGGCGGCGGACGTCGCGGATAGTTTACGTCCACGGCGAGCGCGCTTGGGGTGTGCGAATGCATCCCGTGAGACGCGGCTTGACCCCCTATTATTTTTCATTCGACATTATCCACCCTGTTTCCACTGAACAACGTAGCGTATTCCTTACTCGAGTAAGGACAACTGAAAAACATTCAGAAACATTCTTTACATGAAAGCAAAAAAAGAAAAAAGAAGAAAAGAGTATAAACACACGATTGAAATTACATTAATTATTTTTTCATTTTTTATTAAAAAAATTATTTTTGTTGCAGATGATCAAAGATCATTGTCAATGAACCGAATGGACAAGACGCCGTCAACGCCACCATCACAAGACGGTGAGTAAAGTTTTCGAGTAAAAATTGAACAGTTTTGATTCCGACTGTCAGTTGTTGAGTCAACTATCAACTAACGAACGAATATAGACATAAAACTTGCTCCCGGACGCATAATTGGACGCGTAATTTGCGCTAATTTACCTCTCAAAAGTCTCGCAAGTTCTTAGTTTTAGTCTGCCGCAGATTGGGTGCGAGTCGTTATGAAATTATTAAACGTGACTCTTTTTCCGCGCGCCGTCCGTCCGGTCGTAAAAACAGGCATAATACGGGAATAAAGTGGCGATCGGCGGCGCGACGCGGCGTCTTGCGTCGAAATTAGAGGCCTTCTTCGGTCGGCATTAAGCACTTTCGGCGGGTGGTGCGACTGGCGACGGCGTAATCGTCGCGCGGAGGCGAAGAACAAACATCGGCGAGCAAAAACTAAACCGACAATCAGCTACCGGTCTCATTATATTCACTTTTTACAAACACACCTAAAAAAATTAAATTAAATCAATTTTAGAGGGTGAAATTGTTTGCCCCTTTCAACCGTTGGGTGTTAATCCGTAAAATATACCATAATCGATTATGACTCGTCGTCACCCACACCCTTTCTTCATACGGACGATTATAAAAACGCAATTAACACGCATCACCCTAAATCAACCCCCAAAACGCTTACACGTGGCATAAAATCTCAAAGGGTAACAAAAATGAAAGTAAATAAATCTGAAAATTATATATATCAAGCATTTAATGTAACATAACCTCAATTTTAAGCTAGCTATAAAATTAAATCGATTTTTTTGACCGAAAATAAACTACTCCTCCACCCTTAAAATGCACGCCGGTGTGAAATTTCTTATACTTTGGCGATATCGAATGCCTATCGACGCGCACATTACCGGCTTATCGGCGACTATGCAGGACGTAACGACGCGTCCAATTGGAAAATCAACGCTTCACAACTTTTCCATATTCTCCTACATAATGTACCAGAATAATGAGCGCACTCGATGACCACAAAAAAAATATCGCGTGGAAAAAGTTTTACGAGCAAATCGCAGCGATTGAATGCTTGCGGATTTTCTTCACGTGCATGCAAATCGCGCGAAAACCCTCGAAATGTTTTTCGGCTGGAAATTCCTCATGCAGAACTATTTAAATGCCGTTACTGCCCAAAAGCTCTCGGCCTGATCTGAATATCGACGCACGACTTAAACCAACTGCTTGATATTCAATCCGAGTATATTCACGGGGTTCGATTTTACAAATACTACCCGCACCCGCAGCAAATCTCGGCGGTCAGGGAGAATACAAATATTTGCATATCAAAAACCAAAAAAAATATTTTTAAACATTAAAAACGTTATAATTTTATTTTAAACGTATTTTTTTAAGATACAATGCATGCAATGATTGATTGTTGAAAATGTCGAGGTGGCTGAGATTTTAAACCCCTTGGGAAAGGGGTTGTAACCCCTCAAGCGAAACTGAAACCCTGCCGAGATTCATTTCCGACCAATCAAATGTTAATATAAACTAAAATGGTAACTTGACAATGCAACCCTTTGCATTTCACCCCTCAAATCGAAAAGTGTGCCAGACATGTGCCACGTTTCTTATGCTTTTTATTTACGAATAGCACGCGCGTTAGTTACAATGTATATTTTTTGTAATTATTGTACCTATACCGAATACATTTGAACATATCCTACAATGTAATGTTATACATAGCTAGGTAATTAGTCTCGCAATCAATTGCGTAATTGCAGATTTGCAAATCGCAGCACGCGAACGCCACATGTTGTGACTTTCAATTCATTAATGTAATCGACCAACAATAAAAATATTCGAAAATATTTTATTAAATTTTACACGCAGCCAAAAGCTGATATAAAAATATATGCAATAAATATTTATTTATTTACTAGCTGTTGCCCGCGACTTCGTTCCGGCAGTGTTTAATAAAAATGTAATTCGTTTTTACTCTCTTGTTCTAGACATACTCGTAGTAAGAGTCAATTCTATCAATAAGATTAGCAATTTTAATTTAAAGAAATTAATTATATAAAGTTATGTCAATAATGCACTTCAGCGCGCCATCTCGAATTCAACTATTTAACTATAACTATGATTGAATCTCAATGTCAAATTTTATTCTATAGAAAAGAGCTGTTTTGAGGATTTTCCCGGCAATTATTCGAATTTTTCTCACCTTTTAAACCTTCCCTAGACCTCTACGAATAATTCAAGACCAAGATAAGATAAATCCGTTCAGCCGTTCTCGAGTTTTAGCGAGACTAACGAACAACAATTCATTTATATATATATATAGATCGATTTTCTGTGACTTGTAGATTGAATTTTGTCGAAAAAAAAATCGATTAATCGCACCCGCTTGTGATAATTATTCGCGCTCAATGAAATATGATAATCAATCGTAAAATATCAAATAATAATGCACTTTGCTTTCTATACATAATAAAAACCTTCCATCATTCACAATGTTATCGTTGTTGGCTGAAACACGAAAACGCACGCAAAATTAACCACACTTTAGGGTCAATTAAACTCCGCGAACATACATTACGACTTGTCGACACAATTAGACGATTGTAATGCGTTCGCGCTTATTTCTGCGCAAAACGTTTAACACTCAACAACGCAGCGACATTAACTCCATGTCGGATTTTTATAATCTCAACAATATCAACAATAGTAATTGATTTTTTTCATGTGTTTGTATCATGGGTATTAATTTCTATAACGATTGTTGCAGATGTTGACGCCAATGGAGATATGAGCGATAACGAGGGTAGTCTTAATAGCGACCATCACATTTCGCGACAAGAAGATGAAGACTCGATGGATTCGGATCGTGATGATGGCGCTCTTAACTTGGTAAGTACATAACCTTAACAAATAACCTAGAAATCAAACATTTTTGTTTGTTGGTGGAAAAAAGTTTTAATCATTCGTATATTGTATATTGTAAATTCGATTAAGTCGCTCCCCTCTTCTTTGACTACATGGCTCGGAATTTCCCTCAAGAATTTAAACATTTTAACTTTTACCGTCGAGGGAGAGTTTGCTCCGCCAATGGTGGCGCTACATATGTTAAAACGCGAAATTTGCTCGCGTAATACGACGAGGGAAAACAAACTTCTACGTGATTTATTATTGGCCCTCGGCCGGCCATATAAATTTGAAACGTTTATGAAGACGCCGAACAAACTTGGGGAGATTGTACAACAAGAAGAGAACAATCAAATGCCCGCGGGATACGTTTCGATTAAAAAGCATCCACAGCAAAAATTAAATTCTTGTTTAAGGACAAATATTGAAACATTTTTTTATATTAAAAAATATTAGACTCGTATTATTAACTTAACATCGTCAGCAGTTGTTAATAACCATAATTATATCCGTAATTTTGATTTCAATGTCAGTCGAACACAAATAAATCATTTTTCAACATTGTGTGTTTGAATTGCAGGTGACGGCTGAAAGTGATCCGATCAACAGGTCATCGCCCAACTCCCAAGTGACGAGCTCGAGTCCCACGGGTGTGGGGGCGGCCCTTGCTGCGCTCGGAGGTCTTGGTGGCCTGCTGAGCAACCCGCTTATGTTGGGCAGTCTTGGCGCCTTTCAAAATCCACAAAGTTTACAGCAGCTGCAGCAGCTGATGTTCCAGCAGAATCATGGCAATCAACTCAATCAGCAACTATTTCTTCAAAATCAGGTAATTTTCAACTCTTGATGCAACTTTTTGAAACGGTGTTAGATCTTGGTATTGATACTGGTATTGTGTGTGGCTTTAAAGGGTTTCCTGCAAGGTTTCACGCGTCCTACTAACATGCCATCAAGACCGCCGCACTCAATGCAGGTGTGTTCCAACTCTAACCTCAATTGAACTCAACATAACCAAAAATCAAACGCACACACACACACAATATTTACCTACATTTGCTAGAAGCATTTTGTTTAATTCCATTTTAATCTCCACTGGACCCTCCTATAAAATTATTTATATTTTTACCTCGTTGGGTAATTTGTATGAGTCCGAGGCGCATATTTTTATTTATTATTCATCATTATCTCTTAAGCAACGAGATTTTCTAATACCAGTAACTTTTACATGCGTTGGTAAAAAAGTTCCGCGTCAGAACACTAATGTCTTGTTTGCATGTGAGATTATAATAATTTCTTCTTAATTTTTTTCCCGAGTAATTTTAATGACCAAAGTCTCACACACATATACTACAACTATATTTCTGTAGTTTTTATGGGATTTTAAATGTTTCTCCTACGCTGACTGCGCGTTACATAAGTATTTTGTATTTTGCAGGTGCAACAACTCGCACAAGCCGCCCAGCAGTTGCAGCAGATCCAGAAAGCGCAACAACAGCAGCAACAGCAACAACAGCAACATCAGACCAATATTAATCAGCATAATACAAGCATACCATCAAATAATGGTCAACCCCACAGACACAAACAACACCACCAAATAATTCGCATATTCCAGCAAGTTTACTAACACCCAGCACGCCTAGTTCCGGTGGGTTGACACCCCAGCATATGAAGGCTCAGTCTAGGTTGTTAGAACCTAGTCCCGAAGAGACCACAGACCTGGAAGAGCTCGAACAATTCGCCAAGACATTCAAACAACGACGAATCAAACTTGGTTTCACTCAAGGTGATGTAGGTTTGGCGATGGGTAAACTCTACGGTAATGATTTCTCGCAAACGACAATATCCCGTTTTGAAGCGTTGAACCTCAGTTTCAAAAACATGTGCAAACTCAAACCACTGCTACAGAAGTGGTTGGAGGACGCGGATAGCACCCTAGCAAACCCAGGCGCGTTGAGTAACCCAATGACTACTCCCGAAGCCATTGGTCGTCGACGCAAGAAACGTACCTCGATTGAAACCAGTGTGCGCATTGCACTGGAGAAAGCATTCCTGCAAAACCCTAAACCCACCTCGGAAGAGATCACGATGTTGGCGGATAGTCTATGCATGGAGAAGGAAGTAGTGCGTGTGTGGTTCTGCAATCGGCGACAGAAAGAAAAACGCATCAATCCTCCGTCTTCGGCGCTAGGCTCGCCTGTATCAATGGGTGGTAGTGGCGGTGGTGGTGGTGGTAGCAATATGTTTGCCATCAACTCGCTTTCCAGTCCACTCTCGCTCGTCACGAACAGCGCGCATAATTTTAATCCTAATATGATGGTGAAGCAGGAATGACGGCCGAACTATTTCGGCGACTACGAGCACGTCGAATAATTCGGCGGCCATTTTTGTTGTTTTTCTTTTTGAAATTATTACAACGTAAGTGTTTGTGCAATTTTAACAAATTTAAATGAAACAGTCCCGGTTTTAATATCTAACGCTATAAGTAAACACGTAAAATGTAAAATAGTCAAGTAAGACGAGGAAAAATTGCGACAACTGTACATAAATGGTAAGTGACATAGATTTTTGGCATCTCAACCAGTATTATGTATTGACAAAACATTGAAGAAAAAAAGAAAACGACAAACAGCACGGAAATAAATCGAGCAGTCTTCCAATTCAATGCGAGAAAAGTTCCTATATTATTAGACGAAGACTTGAATTTTGACGAATACTGTGTTTGATTATGCGCTAGAAATTTATTTTCTATGAAAGATACGAATAAATTGTTGTAACAAATGTAAATAATTTTAAAAACAAAAATTACTTGAATATTTTCTTCCCATAAAATTTTCGTTTCATTTCTTTAACGTTAACGTCCAAGAAATGAAACCAAACGGAATTAATATTCAAGTGACGAATATTGCCTAAAGTAAATAAATAAAAGATGAACGTACGACACTCATTTGTAAAGCAGGGTCTCATAATAATATAATTTGAATGTTTGTCGTACGTGCGCATCTTCCAAACCTGTTTTTCATTGTATCTTGTATCAAAAATTGTATCAAGCGATAAAAGTAGGCATGTATAGATAGCTAGCAGGTAAAATCTAATTTTTAAGTAATATCAACACCCAAAATGGCCGGATCGGCCGAGTACTAAACATGTAGATATTGCAAAGTAAGAAATAAACAACAAAACATTGAGAAATCCGCAAATGCAGATTCTGATACTGATTCAGATGACAAAGACAGCTCCTCTAATGATTATCTAGCCAATAAGTAAATGTTATACGGATATTATATGCATATACGAACGATATAAATATTATTTATAAATAGTACCTATACATATGGATAAAAATATACATATACATAAATTATACACACAAACACACACACGTAGGACTCCGTAGGATCGGAATGTATACATACCGACATATGAATGTGTAGAGATAACACTTGTAATTAAGATAGGAATGAAATTGACAAAATGGATGGTCTGTTGTTGTACATAATCGAATTGTTTCTTCGAGGCGCTGAAGACACTTGTCACCGAGGTACCTAAATGACAAATCGAACGGACTAATGCAATTAGGACCAAAAAAACAAGCATGCAAGAGCATTGAACAAGACGAAATTTACGTGTAAATTTCGGAATTGTTTATTATCAAGTTTCGTTCAATCCACTAACGTCTAAGTAGTTGATTTATAAATATATATATAGATGATATTTAATTTTTATTAATTTTATTTGCTAGATATTAATTTTATTATTATTTGAAAATAAAACGAAATACGAGAAAGTTCCTAACGCATCGCAAATACAAACGATTTGTTTTTTTTTTTGATTTTTAATTTTTTCTCTACATCCTGCTTTCCTTTTACTTTTTAATTCTAATTATTGTTGATTATTGATAAGATTATTACTATTTACAAGACACGAGAAGGAGGAATAGGGTCAAGTCATGAAATCAACAATTTTCTTTTGTTTGTCGCTGATAATTTCCTAATATTATGAACTAAAATGATGTAAACATACATATCGTGTTTATCAACTAATAAATGCATAGACATTGATTTTAATTATACGTGTAACTATCGACTATGATTATGTATTATGATGTAATTATCTTGATAGTGCAACCTTTTAAGTCCTGTACAGACACATTGCAATACAAATCTGAGACTTAACACAACAGCGACAAAATTTTAAATAAAATAACAACAATGGCGCCAATGAAATTGCAAAAGAACACAAATAATATAAATGTAAAATAACTAGGTATACTATGTAATAACAATCTTCGTCATATCATTTGTGAATAATTACTCCATGAACGTTTTAACGATTTTGATTCGGACGTTACAAGCAAACAAATGTTGAAAGTAAACACTTAAAATACTTCCAATAGAATTGTAGCCAAAAATTTAACAAAATAAATCACGTAAAGGTAAACAAGAAGCCCAGTAGGTTTATATGTGTGTAGTGTAAATGTCTTTATAGAACGAGGATTACAATGACTCGAGTTTTAGCCTGAAATTGATTAAAACTGAAATGCAACGTTGGAGTTTTAATCGATTGCAGAGTGGACGATGATAACTGAAACAAAAAATACGATGATGAGTATGTATAAGACCCTATTCTGAAGTGTAATATATTTGGCGGTCTAGGCAATAACATGTACATTATTTTCATTAAAGAAATGGATTCATAAATATGCGCGTTTGATTTTTGCTAGTAATCTGTTTGGGTTTTTGTTTTCTCGTATTTCAGTTGTGTATGTGGGGAAATCAAGGCGGTCTGTGTAGAAAACAAACAATGACTGCCAGTCGTTATTTACACAGTTTTTGTTTGACAAGTTAATCTGCAAAAAAGCGGCGCATAGCTCTTCCTTAATCGCATTCAATGTAAACCATGTAAATTTAGTTTGTTTCACATTAAATTCCAATGTGCGAATTTGTATGAAATTTCACCACGTCGCCGCATTTGCCGAATCAGCGCACCCGCCATATTTGATATCTGCGCATCTTATCCTGGACGATGTCATTTAACAATATGAAGACTGCACGCCCAGATACTGAATTGTCCTCGTCAAAAATTGGTAAAAGAATTTTGAGAAAAAAAAATACAAAAATGACGTTTTGAAATTTCAACTTTAATTTGTTGAAATTTTGGTTTTAGAAAGACCATCAACAGCAACAATTGCCAAGAGCCAACCCCAAAAGTCATTTATACCAACTTTCAGAAGTCTCTCTGTACGTAACACTTAATTTTTGCTCAATTTAAAATACAGTATATTATTTAATAGCAACCACCAAGTATATCCATTTTAAACGACCAATCCAACTCCTCGCCAACAACTACGGTAATATTAGAAACGTAATTTTAACAAATCTTAATCTCTAATCTTTAACATCTAAAATTTTGAAGGCTCTAAATAGTGAGGTGTTATCAGAAGAAATAAAAACACATTGCTTGAAAATGAAGTATTTAACGATATGACAATGATAACCGATGAATTTAAAGATTGTTTAGAAAGTGTCAAGCTAGAGTTAGACACTCCATCAAACTCACAGTTTGACAGTCTAAACTTAGGCAGTGAAACAGCTGCAGATATCCTAAACAATCTTAAAACTCCTGAGGAGATTGAAACACCTCCTAGTACACAACGTTCAAAGCGTCGAGAGAAATCTCCACCATTTCTACAACGTGCCACTGGCAAAGGATCAGCTCCAATTAGAAGTTTATCAAGAAAAAATAGCAATTCTGGAATACCAGTTTCTGTTAGTTTATCTGGCAAAACAAATACAAAGAGTCCGCCTCCCAGGCAACTTGTAAAGAGACAAGGTGCCTCGCCAGCATCCACTGGTTTAACATCAACAGCTGGTAGTAAGAAACAATTATCAACATCACCATCACCGACGGAGAAAACAAACACAGCGTTGATGGTAAAAAGAAACATGGATATATTCTTGGCGAAAAAGAAACGTTATGAAACAATGCGTAAAGATATACAGGGTAAACAGAAACCGCTCTTGGATCTGTACAATGCATTGCTCGATTTGAAGAAGAAACTGTCAGAAAATGGGGAGCAGGTATCTGTAAAACCAATGCCGCCTTTTGAAAACGATTCAGAACTTAAACCTAAAACGCATTCTGTGGAAGTGGAAGCTAATGAAGATTTAACTGAAAAGGTATCAAATGTTAACACGCAAATCCTCGACGATGTTAAGAAGTCGGTTGAAGAAATTCGTGTAAATGCCGTAGAGTTGTGTAAAAACATGATGGAGAAGAGAAATAATCTGCTAGTTGCTTTTGAGAATATAGCCATTTTGGATGGTAATAGTAAAGCACTCTTGCATGAGTTGGAACTTCATAAAAATGAAAATGTTGCATTGGAAGCATTTCTATCGAAAAACATTGAAAATCAAGAAGAGGAACTAAAAGAGATGGTTGACAAGTTGACCAATTTAAAGTTAATTACAACTCCCGTGGTTCAACAGACTATTCGACCACCAGCTGAACCAAGGGAAGATTTTTCGAAAGAATTGCAACAACGATTGAAGGAAATAAAAGAACTTGAGGACAAGATCAAACAATCTGAGAAACAATTGAGCCAAACACAAAAGGATCTTAAAGCAGCGCAAGCTGCGTCAGCTGCTGGGCAGGAAAGCGGTGATGCACTTCGGAGCGAAAACGACAAGTTAAAACAAAAGATAACTGTAATATTATCTGGTAATTTATTAAGTGACGATTTAAGTGTAAAAGTTTTAGACTCTGGAGAAACTGATAGAAACTGAAAAGAGGAAAGCCGCGCATGAAGTAGACCGCATTAAAACAACCGAAATGAGCTCCAAAACACTTAAGGCTAAGTTGAAAGAGGTGGAAACTGTCAAACTACAACATGAAAGTAAAATCAGCCAACTTAATACTGAACTGAGGTAATCTACCCAACAATTTATGTTTTAATTTATTTGTTATGAATTTGTCTGCTTGGATTTTTAGAACTGCGCAGAATAAACTGAAAGTAGCTGAGAAAAACTTTGAGAAGGAGCTTGGTGAACTCAATAAGTCCCGCAACCTGGACAAGTCGGTTATTGAGCGTCTAAACAGGGACAAATCTACGTTTGAAACCAGGTGGTTAATCAGTCTCACGATTCGCTTGATACACGACCTCTTTGCGCCTGATTTCTGTGTGGAGTTTACATCTTAATCAGCACCGCAAATAACGCGCATATATTTAATTTCCTCCCCCACAGTAAAAAAAAACCGTAAATAGCGAAAAGCATGAATGCGTGCAGTAAAACCATTTCGACATATATTTCACAACAAATTGTGCTGTAATAAACTATCAAATTTAAACAAATTTGAAACACGTAGATTTTATTATATTATATATGATTTTTCTTGTAAGCGTAAGCACTTGACACTCGATTTGGAACCGACGGCGGTGTGGGTGAGTCCAAACTCGCAGTGCTCGTGTTTGCGCCCAGGATTGATGTGATATCCGCCGTATTTTGCAGGTTGAACGAGGCACACCAGCAGGCTGAAGAAATGCGCAGCATGTTTGAGGCACGCGACGGCAGAATGCGGCAGGAGGTGGAATTGGCGCGGCAGGAATGTGAGGCGCAAACTAATATGGCGATGCAGATGCGGATTGAATGCGAAAATCTCAGGAACGAATTGAGTTCAATGCACATGCATTCAAAGCAGAGCAGTGAATTGATACGACGGAGCGAAGACGGATCATGTATGCATTATTACATTATCATAAGTGTTAAAAGAATTTAATTAACGTTGGTTATAGTGACTTACAGTGAAAGAGAATGTGAGCAACAAGTGGAAATTGTTGCTCAGAGAGCCGCCATCAAAGCTCTTCAGGAGAAAGTCAATACCAGCACCATGGAAAAGAACAGATTTATAGAAACCATTGAGACTTTGGTAAATTTTTGTTTTCGGTTGTTTTTTTTTTAATTTAATTTTGTGTTTAGCGTGGTAATACCAGAAGTGAGTTGCATGAGGACATAGTGAAGACCTTGGTTGAAAAGGAAGAAGAAATCACCCAGTTGCATCAGCTTCTTAAAAAACGTGAAGATGATCTTGCCAATCGGCGTGTTGAACTGCAGAATCTAAAGAACAAAGTTGATAACCTCCAAGATCATATCCAATCAATGAAACAGCAGGATACTGAAAGTGAGCTTAAGAATATGATAAAAGAAGGTCGCAGTAAACTGGAGGATGCATTGGCTAAGTCATTAGAAAATGAACACAAGTTGATTAAGTTTGAGCATGAAATGGCGCAAAAATTCAACTTGTTGCCAGTTTAGAGAACACGTTGAAGTTAAGAGATGGTTTAATTGGAGTGCTCAAAACCAAGAAGGAAGAGTTAATTGTAGAAAACACCAGTTTAGCCAAGTATTCTGAAGAGATCCGTTTATTCGTGCTTGAGGTAATATATACGTACCAGTAATAATGCATCCCGTTATTTTTATTAACTTTTTGATAAAATAGGCTAAGGAAGAGCTAAAAGAGAAATCCGAAATCATCACACAACTGCAACTGGCCCTGAATGACAGGCTTCGGGAAATACACAAGTATGAAAAGCGAATGCAACAAATGGAAGGACAACTGGCACTTACAAATGAAAAGCGTTACCGGTTGCAGGATACAGTGAGTTTGATGGAACGAGAACTGCATATGACGAAGAATGGTTTGGACGCGAACAATGAGATACGGTACGATGACCATTGTGGTGCCGCCTTTGACGGTAGGCTTACTTGTGAGGTGGAAATGAATGAAGAAGAGAAATCTGCGTGTGAATGTGACAATGATAATCAGCCGGAGCAGACTGATAACTTTGATTATGAATATGAGTGTCCTTGTGATTGTGAGGAATATGATGAGGACGTTAGCAGGTCGATGGGTATGCATATGCAACCATGGCAGGCGACTAGTGCTCGCTTGTATAATCAGTATCGTACTGCGTACCATCAGCAGCGTAGTAGTAGATCACGCGTAGCGGTTCAATCGCAAAGTTTAGGATCAATTTCGGGTCGATTTAATACCAGTACCGAGGAGATTTACGAATCGCGTAATTCTTCTAGTGGGACTTTCCTGTTAGAAGATAAACAGCCGACAACTTGCGTGTCCTTACGATCTGAGCAGCCATCTTGTAAACCACTGCATCAGTGCTATGCTAATCCTAACTTTCATAATGATACTAACAATTACAACTATAGCTATGCACCCCATCAGGGTCATGGGGAATGTGCAGAAAGTCAATTTGCGTTTTATCCAAATCCGGAAAATTGCGTTTTTGGTCCAGGACAATACTATCAACCGATAACTTTAGGATGCGTAGATACCTACCAGGTAGCCGATAGCGGCCATCTTGTGTGGCTAACGCCATCTGCCACGATGCAAGCGAACAACGCCATCATCACACGCGATTTATTTACGCATTCGTGTACGAAACTCAAAAATAATTTAAAGGACAGTCTGCGACGACTCGAGGAAACTCGCGCCAGCTATTCCTAAAATTTTTGAAGTCGTTGATTGAATGAGAAAGTTATTTTCTGTCTTGGAGCTTTGGGAAAACAACGACTAATTCAGATTTCTTTTTGTTCCAGGACAGGAAATAAATTTCTCAAACATTAAGGACGATGGCCCGGTGAAAATAAAAATTACCGTTTCGTAAGCCACGCACGTTCAAACACTCTATGCAAATAATCTATCTAACTTATGTGATGATGACGATATTCTCGGGTTTAGAATTAATAATAAAAACCTACTAATCCGTACTACTACCTATTTTGTCCTGCAATGTCCTCCATCATATTTTTTTCGCATTCACACGTGAATTTGTTGAGTTGCTTGAATGTTTTTAATTTTTTTTGGAAACTATACACGTTTTTATTGTTTTATTTTGGTCAATAAATTTTGTTATTATATAATCATACAGCTCTCGCCCTCTAAACTTCAGTTCTTTAGCAAAGGGCTGAAAATATTTATAAGGGATAAAAGGGACAAAGCAATCTGTAAACTGCGAGTACTTATTTTAGTACTACCTCAGGTTTCTGGAAGATGGCGTTAATATTCTACATTTATGAAATAAATTTTACACTTATTATTTACGATTTAATTAATATTTTTGTATTATAGTCATTTATATTTATTTTTAAAGCAATAGAGTAAGCAACCAATTGTCCATTTTAAAATTGAATTATTTCGAAATCGATTAACTGCTTGAAAGACCCACACTCGACTGGTTTCATAACATTTCGAATTCCATGCTGAAAACTTTTTTCAAGCAATAAAAGCGAAGAAAAAAGTTTGGTGCGGGAAACGCTGGCGCTCCACTTGTTCCTTGATTTTTAGTTCGCATTACGCTCGAGTGGTATTTGAACTGCCTCCCTGCTGCTTTCGCCGCCCCTGCCTCTCTCTGTGTTCGACGCAGCTGCTGAACGGGAAAGAAACGCGCGGAGGAAATTGAATCTACTTACTAAACTACTAGAAACTGCGGGTGACTGCTCGCATGCGACATGCGGGCCGGATTGTAGGACATCATTTCACGTAATATTCTGGAAAACAGGATAAAGACTTGTGGAGGCTAAAAATATCAAAAAGTTTGTTCATCAAAATGGAAAAATGGAAATGGTTTACCTCAAGACCACTCAGTAAAAATTAAAACTAGAAAACAGTTTCCAAAGTTCACTCTTGCTTTAGTATAGACCTAGAAGTAAACTGCCTAAGCCTTTAAAAAAATGGACCTTCAAAGAAGTATTCACACATAATTAAAAAAAAAAATTCTCCTTTGAACCCTGTGCAATATAATTAAGAAGAAATTCAAACCAAAAATCTAAATATCTATATATAGGTGTATAAACAGATAACACTTACTATACAAGTAAAACTACAAGTACAAGTCGGAATACAAGTATGGTGTGAGCCGATGATCCGATGACGCCGTGCGGCTTCCTCGAACTCACTCTCTCGGCCGACGTTGGCGGCGGGGAGCGGCGCATGACGCCCTCGTCATTGTCCGCGTTCTGCCATCAGTCGCTTGCCAGTACGCTATCAGCGCCCGGCGCGCCAGTTCTATCGTTATCGCTCGCGCAGCACAACATCGAGAGCGCCTTCGATGTTTTGATCGCACACTCCGCATGTTCATCCCGACAACACGCATTATTTAATCAAATGTAAGTCATATTCATATAATCATTCTATAATTAAAATGTGTTTTGCTAAATTTAAGAACTTTGTTATGTGTGTGCGCTAAATGTGATAAGAAATTATTACGCGCAGAAAAACTACGCTTGATTAAAATTTGATGCAAAATTAGCACTCGTAAAAAACCACAGAAAATTAATTTCAGTTTACGCCACTAAACACTGTAATTAAATTTAAATGAACACTAAAACAACGCACGATATTAAATGTAATAAAATATTTAATGCCAACATAACGCTTTGCAAGTGCTGCATAATTAAATGCACATCGTGCATTTGTTTAGTTTTCGTTCGCAACATGCTTCCTTTCGGCGCAAGGCTGCATGTGTCTTGTACTTGTTTATCATTATGCCACTTTGATAAGTCGTCGCTGCGGGCACGTGTTTACATCGCAGTTCTTTCCCAAGTCCGGAATTTCCGGGATGCACTGTTCAGTTCGAGGACCTTTCAAATCAGGCGTGTGGGTGGGGGAGGAAATTCTAGTGGGCGCTTTTATTGCGAAACTTACCGGCGAAAATTCCGCACCAAACCGGACGAGACGCAAACTTTCATTCGAGCGGAAATTAACTTTAAAATCCACTTTAAAATATTTCAATATTACAAGATGATTTAAACTAGTTATACAAAGTTTACTTCAATTTTTCTAACTTTCAGTAAGAAACTACAATCAAATTAAAAGCATAAAGATTGAATACTCCCTGTAGCTTGACGTTGCAGCCATGTGTAACATAGTAGATGTGAGCATGTGAGCATAAAGAGAATGCGAAATGAAATGAAATTACGTTCCGTTTAAAGTCAACAATTCAACAACAACAACACGGCCCATTGTGTTGGGTTGCAAACCATCTCTTCACAGATGTGTATCCTCTTAATTCCTAACATAGTTAACTAACAACGAGATTAAATTATTTTGTTACACATTCTCAATTTCGAGCAAACTATAAATTTGATAACAATTCAATGGAACAGATTTATGTGAACTGATGAACGACAGAACAAAAGATTGTATCAATATAATCAATATGTGTAGCATCGGACAATGTTTGAACTCATTTATGCCTGATTGATGATGGATGAGCGCCGGACGCTGATTGACGCCACCTGAAACAGGTGTTAGCTTTGCAAATTGAGTTCAAACAAAAATTCGCATTAACGAATCTCGACCCTCATAAATTGATGAAACATCAAATTGACATTGTTCTTGTCATGATTGTAATCAAACACACATTTTTAAATTTCAAAAATTTCAAAAAAATTGCAGGGAATTGAATAATTGATTATTCAATTTGCAATAATTGCTGCAGATGTTGGTGAACACAAATCTGTGAATAATTAATTTCAATTAAAAAGTTTCTATCCCATCAATAACGACATTGGCAACAAACTTTTCGAATTGTTTTCCACCCTCACGCACTTTCCACTTTGCACTTTCGTTTTTCGATACTTTCAAAAACGATTGATTAATTCATTAATTAGACTTAATCTAGATTAATTTACAAGCTGCAAATTTTAACGTGATGTATAATTAATGGTCTTAGACTAATTTTAAAACATCTAGTAGGTTTTACATGTTTTCTCATTACCGGTTGAGCTTTTACGCTGTTTGAGCCACCTGATATTAGTTACTAGTTGTAGCTGAATGAACCAGAACGCGGCTGAATGAAAGTTAATTAAATATCAAAAGATTACGACCAACCGGCAACACGGGGTTGCAGAGAGATGAAAGCTGAAAGAAGGAATCCGAAAACTTTAATTACACGTCTCGGTGATTATATGTTGCGCACGTTGCGGTTCTACTTCGCTATTTCGATGATAACACTGATAATAATTTATAATTACAAAGTAGTAATTTGATCTAAAAATATAATTCTTCTCTGCTTGAGTAAATATTTATTATATCAGTTTTGTTTCATTGATTAATTCGTGGAAAATAAAAAATTAATTTGTTATTTTACATTACATGACATTCAATATCACTTCGTTTAAATAACACATTTAATATGAACGCGAGTGGTAATTAATTAAAAACACATAAACCCATTAAAAGATGGGTTAAGGTCAACGGCGACACTTGTGTGCGTTTCAATTTCAACAACGGCGACTTTGACTTCGACCGTCAGATCGGAAGCTGGCCGACCGTGAAACTGAAACCGTCGATAACAAAATTGATAAACAAGTATAATATTTAATAAAATGAAAACTAGACGTAGCCAAACTTTAACTGAAAGAAAATACCTGTACACCACTATATTGTTTTGTTTGATCGATAGTGAAAAGCACCACCACCGCCGCCTCATTATCCCGCCGCCAAATTGGCTTGCATCCAGCGCATCAAACGTCGCCGCCGGCGCAATCCACGGTACACGCGTAATTAAATTCGCCCATAACTCACATTTTTATTGACATCCAAGGTTCTACTCATCACGAGAAAGACGCCGGCCGCGCGAATTCATTGAAAAATTCATTTTAATTAAGACGCGCAACGCGCACGTGTCTGCTTTATTAAAATTTATGCTTTTTTAATTCAAAACTACATTCTTTTCTATTGTCATACCCTGTATAAATTATGGTCTGTGTTCGGTGGCATTAACTAATTGAATTACATTGACGCGCGCGTAATTTTTGTTATCTACTTGTTACGTTCATTTTCGGTGGTTCTTTTGTTCTAGCACAACAACGATGGGGACGGCAAGGGTAGCCGGCGTCGTCTTGTTAGCGCTGGCGGTAGCGACGCCGCCGTGCGCCTGTCTCAAGTGCGACAGGACGCCCGAGGGTGCGATCACGTCCAAGAGCCGCGCCGACGACCGCTTCGTAATTGAAGTCTCTGGCAATCCAGCAACATACGTTCCTGGCGAGCAGTACACAAGTAAGGCATTTCACACTCAAATTTAACATCTGATATCTTTAAAATTGATGTAATAATTTGTTTCGTTTGTTATATTATTGTGTGTTGAAAATGGAAATTATTTCCTGTGTGTTCTTGCGTCGCGCAAACAAGAACTGTTTCGTCTAGGGAACAATTGCGGCAAAGTTATGAAGTTTCTAGACTTCTACGGACGTAGTTTCATGTATGCGTTGCCTTGCCAAATGAATGAGTTTCACTGCAGAAACTTTTTGTTCCCGAAAGTTTCAACATCAAATATATTAAGATTTTTTAAAGATGAATGTGAATGAATTTTAATATTCAGTTATGATGAAAACCGTTAAAGCGAAAATTGAAATTGATGCGGTTTTCATCTTTTGTCGACCTTTTCATTACATTTTGGTCGAATTGTGAAACGTGAGGCTTTTTGTCGGTAGCGAAAAGAGAATTTTTAATAATGTAGGTATTTGTGAGAAAACGGCAATAAGAAGATGAGAAAAGAGAGGAGCGGATTGAAGGGTAAGAGTTTAAAACGCAAAATTATATGACGTTTATTACTTTTGATAAATTATGTTCAATTCAAAGCAGTTTTCCGCTTTTAACCAAGCGTAATATTGATGTCAATTGGCCGCCACCCTCCCACTGGCCCATTGTACTCAGTAAGCAAATTATACAGTTGCAGCTGTTAGGTCATTATGCAAACGGCTTCAGCTCGCGTGCGGTCGAAGGCAGAATTTCCATTTATAAGCAAATAGGGTAAATACCGCACGCTGAACGTATAATATCCGCAATCCGCTGCACGCAAGACACGCAGCCGCAACCCTTAACCTACGCTGTGCGTAACAGTGCACTATGGCTTGTTGTAATATTAACAGGTTCGACCACCATCACCAACAGACCCTTCTAAATGAAACATTTTAGTCAGATTGAATTTGATAGATGTACCAGCCTATAATAGGGCGAGTTGTAGAGTTGGGAACTGGAGCTGTTGTTGCGGCAGGTGTTGTTAATTAAATTACCCAATTAGTGGGGGCGCTGTTCAAACAAGAATGTTTGTTGCATCCGGAAACACCAAATATGAAACGCAGAGCACGTGTGCCAATATATGCACTTGGTAAACATATTGCATATTCAATACGCGTATAGGTTAGTAATATTACTTTTAATATCGAATATTAAAATTTTACCAGCAAAATAAAAAAAATCATGTATCTTATATAAAATAGTCCGTAGATTAAGACGCTGCGATCAGATCTTAAATATCTCTTTTAGTTTACGAGATATTCGCGATTGAATAAAATGGGCAAAAATTGAAAAATGCCACTTTTTAGTACTTTTAGTGGCGTTTTTGACCTTTTACTGTTGGAAATATAATTATTTTATTATTGAATCTGATAGAGAATTTTCCAATCTTTCATAATCAGCAATTTGTTGGTTGCTATCTCTTTTAGCTTAAGAGATATTAATTATCAAAAATCGTCGAAAAAAAGAATTAAGCACCCCCCCTTGGCAATTTTTTTCTTAAGAATGAAAATTTCATCTCTCAGATTTTCGTTTTAACTATCCTATCTGATAGAAAAAGTCCGTAGATTAAGACGCTGCGATCAGATCTTAATTATCTCTTTTAGTTTACGAGATATTCGCGATTGAATAAAATGGGCAAAAATTGAAAAATGTCACTTTTTAGTACTTTTAGTGGCGTTTTTTGTCCTTTTACTGTTGGAAATATAATTATTTTATTATTGAATTTGATAGAGAATTTTCCAATCTTTCATAATCAGCAATTTGTTGGTTGCTATCTCTTTTAGCTTAAGAGATATTAATTATCAAAAATCGTCGAAAAAAAGTATTAAGCACCCCCCCTTGGCAATTTTTTCTTAAGAATGAAAATTTTATCTCTCAGATTTCCATTTTAACTATCCTATCTTATAGAGAATAGTCCGTAGATTAAGACGCTGCGATCAGATCTTAAATATCTCTTTTAGTTTACGAGATATTCGCGATTGAATAAATTGGGCAAAAATTGAAAAATGTCACTTTTTAGTACTTTTAGTGGCGTTTTTTGACCTTTTACTGTTGGAAATATAATTATTTTATTATTGAATTTGATAGAGAATTTTCCAGTCTATCATAATCAGCAATTTTTTGGTTGCTACGGCTTTTAGTTTATGAGATATTAATTATCAAAAATCGTCGAAAAAAAGTATCAAGCACCCCCCCTTGGCAATTTTTTCTGAAGAGTTAAAATTTCACCTCTCAGATTTCCGTTTTAACTATCCTATCTCTGAGAGTCCGTAGATTAAGACGCTGCGATCAGATCTTAATTATCTCTTTTTGTTTACGAGATATTCGCGATTGAATAAAATGGGCAAAAATTGAAAAATGTCACTTTTTAGTACTTTTAGTGGCGTTTTTTGACCTTTTACTGTTGGAAATATAATTATTTTATTATTGAATCTGATAGAGAATTTTCCAGTCTTTCATAATCAGCAATTTGTTAGTTGCTACGACTTTTAGTTTATGAGATATTAATTATCAAAAATCGTCGAAAAAAAGTATCAAGCACCCCCCCTTGGCAATTTTTTCTGAAGAGTTAAAATTTCATCTCTCAGATTTCCGTTTTAACAATCCTATCTGACTGAGAAAAGTCCGTAGATTAAGACGCTGCGATCAGATCTTAATTATCTCTTTTTGTTTACGAGATATTCGCGATTGAAGAAAATGGGCAAAAATTGAAAAATGTCACTTTTTAGTACTTTTAGTGGCGTTTCTGACCTTTTACTGTTGGAAATATAATTATTTTATTATTGAATCTGATAGAGAATTTTCCAGTCTTTCATAATCAGCAATTTGTTAGTTGCTACGACTTTTAGTTTATGAGATATTAATTATCAAAAATCGTCGAAAAAAAGTATCAAGCACCCCCCCTTGGCAATTTTTTCTGAAGAGTTAAAATTTCATCTCTCAGATTTCCGTTTTAACTATCCTATCTGATAGAGATTGGTCCGTAGATTAAGACGCTGCGATCAGATCTTAATTATCTCTTTTTGTTTACGAGATATTCGCGATTGAAGAAAATGGGCAAAAATTGAAAAATGTCACTTTTTAGTACTTTTAGTGGCGTTTCTTGACCTTTTACTGTTGGAAATATAATTATTTTATTATTGAATTTGATAGAGAATTTTCCAATCTATCATAATCAGCAATTTGTTGGTTGCTATCTCTTTTAGCTTAAGAGATATTAATTATCAAAAATCGTCGAAAAAAAGTATCAAGCACCCCCCCTTGGCAATTTTTTTTAAGAATGAAAATTTCATCTCTCAAATTTCCGTTTTAACTATCCTATCTTATAGAGAATAGTCCGTAGATTAAGACGCTGCGATCAGATCTTAAATATCTTTTTTAGTTTACGAGATATTCGCTCGTTTCATTAATTTTGATCCCACAACGATTCTAGGGAAGTTTACACTTCAAAAATGTTTTTGCATTTTCGACATTTCATTTTGTGATTAACACCATTGCTGCATGTAGAGATTATTCAAAGCGACGTAACACATTTTCATTCAGCAATGGAACACTCTGAATGTTGCAAAATGTGGCGGACAGTTGAAAAGCAATTTTCCTGCTACAACGCGTACGTTTATCGTCCTCTAAAAGGTGCAACGCTAAGCAGAAACTGACACAAAACGATAGAAAAAAAAACAAATTACACTTCGTTAACTGGATTAAATAATTTAGTTTTTTCAGCCTTTACAAAAAATCACTTTAAAATGACTTAATTTATTAGTATTTTTTGTTTCCATCCTGCAAGTGATCGACCTAAAGACGTTGAAAGTAGAACGCGTCCTAATTAAATTGCCTGCCACAAATCACGCGGACATCGAGTGAGCGTTCGTCGTTGGCGGAGGCGCCGGGCGTCTTATGCGCGTCCAATTACTGCCGACACTTGACGGCAACGATGGGCTAGTTTTTATCAAAGCAGTCCGCCGAAGGCGTACCTATACTCAGGCTTTAATCTTTAGCAATCGACCATTCGGATTATATCCATGTCGGTTGCAGACCAGCCAGTTTTTTGTCTTTAAATTGAAACTTGTTCCACAGTTACGCAAAGCACAATTTTAGTATTTAATCAATAGTTTCAATTAGTAAATAATAGAGACGATTAAAACTAATTAGATGTGAGGGATTTCGCAAAAGAGGGGTTGAGCGTTACGGGTATTATCCCGTGTCTCACAAACGATTTAATTAATTTAATTCTACGCCAATCCCGATTGTGCGGGGTTTAAGATTTTGGAGGAAGAGAATTTAAATCAAAACACAAAAATTTTTATATCAACTTTAATCCGCAGTGATTTAACGTGTGATCCCAATTTCCAACTTTTTTTATCGCACAAAACCCACGTAACTCTCACATGCACACCCCCATCCACTTGAGCACTCGTGCCGCACGGAAAATCGGGTTTGCATTACGCGCCTAGACAATAAAAATCAATAAAATACAAACTTAGCCGAGCGTGATTTTATCGGACGACTTGATCTCGTTTAACACGCATTAAGCCAACCGGAGAAGACGCCGCGATGAATTATAAACGCTCATAAGCGCCACCGCAAGGCAAAAGGGTGCAAAGGCATTGTGTGTGTAAATGTGTGCAAACAAGATTTACATTTTGCAAAGGTGCATAAAGGGCTAAGTGAAATCGTGACATGGATTTCATTAAAATTAATCGAAAAAGAAATAACTTTTCTAACTTTTTTTGCTGTATGAGGTTTGTGCTGTGGTGAAAAATCCAGATTTATAGACGCGTCACAACGCAAGATCTCCGGGATTAAGGATATATGAGCGTCGGCGTCTTCAGGCGAGATATGCAAGACGGATCAGTGCGTTTGACGTAACGTGCGTTACGTGTTACGTGTATTCTCGCGCGAATTCAAATCCGGCTACAATTTTCCTACCCACCTATCGCGTTTCCTCGACGCCTCGGTCATTAATCATCATCGCAACGTCTTGAAAAAGCCGCAGCACTCAATTTCATACGTTCTACACCTTCTTGTTTAGTAATATATTGCTAAACAAACTTTACCAATGTTTATCTTTTTTATTTAATTTTTGGTGGAGGCGCCATTGAAAATAATCGGATTTTGTTAGTTTATTTACACAGCAATCCCGAATATCAATCCCAGCACAAATTCAAAGACTTTATGCTGATCGTGGAACAAGAATCCTCCGAAAAGGTACTCAACGAAATGTACGGCACGTCTGTGGGCTCGCTTCAGTTGTTTGGAGATATGATGACCAAATTCAGCGAGCGATGCCGAAATGCAGTCATGCAAACAAATTCACTGCCCAAGTCTGAAGTGCAGGTTAGTTCAAAACTACTATTATATAACTACTAATTCTGCTTTTCCCCTAAAAAGTTTTAAACAATTAAATAGTAAAATAAACCGCTTTGTGGTTTACACAATAAATTCGACTTTAACTAATCCAGGGTCGCTAAGCAAACAAACGTGTCCGAAACACTCTGCTGCCTAATATTTATGCATGGTCCTTGTTTTGCCCTCAGATGTTGTGGTTAGCGCCTGCGGCCGGCAGTGGCTGTGTTGTTATCCGCGCCACTGTGGTAGAATCCAAAGATGTGTGGTACGCTGACGACGGTAAACTCTCCAAGGTACTCTGTCAGGAGCTTGAGGAAAGCGATGACGCACAACCGAATGTCCTGCGACATTGTTGCGCTTGTGACGAGGCAAAATACGAGGTAAATTTTGTATTTGTATTCCAAGCCACAGCCGAAGGTGAAGGAAACTAGTTTTTGACAATGGTAACTCTGGCGTGTTTAGGTGACATTCGAAGGATTGTGGTCGCGCAACACGCACCCGAAGGACTTCCCGTCCAACGGCTGGCTAACGCGGTTTAGCGACATCATCGGGGCTTCTCATTCCGTCGACTATACTTTCTGGAATTACGGGGACATTGCCAGCGAAGGCCTGCGCCAACTGGCAGAGAATGGCAATACAAGGATGTTGGAAGGGGAACTTAAAGAGAAGGTTTGTAACGTTCAAGTATATATTTTGTTTAGTTTTGCCCACTTATTTTGGACATCTAGCAAGATAAATTGGTTTCGTTATTATGAGTACATTTACCCTGTAGCTATTTTTAATCAAAAATAAACTCCGGATGAGGATGTTACATCTTTCATATGTCAGCTGCACTCGCAGGCTGCGTCGTTGAAGTGTTTGTGTGTGCGAATAAAGTGGTTGAAAGATGTCTCGGTTTTCCAGAGTAACCATATTCGTACAATCATAAAAGCTCGTGGGATAAGCTATCCAAACATCACGGGTAAGACTTTCGCTGTGTTCCGCGTGGACAGCAAGCATCACTTGATGTCGCTCGTCTCGATGATTGATCCATCGCCAGACTGGATCGTCGGTGTCTCCAGTCTAGAGTTGTGTTTACGCAACTGCTCCTGGGTAGAGTCCAGGGTATTGAACCTTTATCCATGGGACGCAGGCACTGATGACGGTCCAACCTATATAGTAAGCAATTTATAATGTTTTTATAAATTGTACCTATAAGATAATTGTTTGGTTTATAGTCACCTAATCAGCCATCAAATCCACGAGATCCAATCCGTCGTATAAAGTCTAACAGTCCCAATGACCCACGATCACCTTTCTATGACACAACTGGTGCTGAGATGAAACCTTTAGCAAGGGTTTACTTATCTAGGCAACGTCTGTACGAAAAAACCTGCGACTTATCCCAAACTGAAAATAACGAAGAGTTTGATTCGGCTGGTGGTGGAGGTGACAGTTGTGAACTAGGTGCTTGGTCTGACTGGTCCTCGTGTTCAGCAACCTGCGGTAAAGGATTCAAATACAAACAAAGAGCGTACAAAAACGAAGAAAGTAAATATCACTGCACAAGAGTATTGACTAAGAGAGCACCGTGCACGGCAATTCAAAGACATTGCCGGAATCAACCCCATGGTGGTCATGAACACAATCCGCATTGCGCACTCACCGACTGGGGAGAATGGTCCAGCTGCTCAGTGACGTGTGGTAAGGGGATTAAAACGAGAAGCAGACGTTACAAAAACCACAATGCCGCAAAACGTTGCGCGGCTGGTAATGAACACCCTGAACCCTTGGAGCAGAACTTAGAATGTGAAGAAGGTGAGTGCGCGGAAGGAGAACCCGAACTCACACCAGAATGTGAGGCAAAAACCTGGTCGCAATGGTCTCCATGTTCAGCTTCCTGCGGTAAAGGAATCAAGGTCAGAAGGAGAATGTCATTCCCAAAGCATGGTTATTCGCGATATGCCCGAGATGAAGACGAAGAAGCACAAGAACAAGAAGAAGCAGAAGACGATGAGGATTGTCCTTCCGAAGAAAAAGTAGAGTGTGTCAATGATGAAAACCCTGTTTGCAACGAAAATGAAGAAATCGATCCAGGTAATTGAAACATTACTTTTACTTTTTATTTTAACATTACTAACCATAATTGGTAGCAGTTTCCTGCACTCTACCAAAAGACGAAGGAGGCTGTAAGAGTAACGTAGACCGGTGGTACTTTGATGTGATCAAAGGCAGCTGCGATATCTTCAGCTACAGTGGATGCATGGGAAACAAGAATAATTTCAAAACGCTGGATCGCTGTGAAAATGTTTGTGGGGAGTTTAAAAGTACGCTTAATTAAAACACTACAACTACCCCTATGCTTATCTAATCACCTAAAAATCGACCCTTTCTGATATTGTGCATGCTGACTCCCATCTCAAAAAGGAGAACTAAACGCAAATAGGACCGCACAGATACGCCAACTTGGCGTTAGCGTTTCTGGCGTCCTTACATACAACATGCAGTTGCAGAACGACGACGCCGATAAATGCGGTACTTTTATTTACGATAGGCGATGGATTAGATTGATAAATTTAACTAAATCAAATACTAATATGCTTTCTAGAGACCGATCAATCTATTACCGGAATACCCTCAGGCAGCCACAAATTTGAAGACAATGTCATCGACCAACAACCCTCGGGGCAAGTAGTAGACTGTAAGATGTCCCCATGGTCAAAATGGACACCTTGTAATGGCTCCTGTCAGGAAAAGGATGGCTTCAAAACCAAATTTCGCACAATCAAAGTGAGTGCATGGTTATTTTCAATTATGCAACTCTATTGAGTAAATTTTAGGTTCATCCAATGAATGGCGGTAAAAGATGCCCCGAAAAATTGATTAAGAAACATCGCTGTAAAACAAAATGCGATGATGAAGAAACCCCCATCCACAACAGCGAAGAAGAAGATTCTGAGTTGAATCCAACGTGGGGTCAACCTGGGCCCGTTGAAAGCATCCGTGTTGATTGCATTATGTCCCGATGGTCAGCATGGTCACCTTGCAGTAGATCTTGCGGATCAAACGCAGTCCAACAACGAACACGCAGCATTATAAGGCAACATAGCGGACGGGGACAACAATGTCTGCATAGAACTGAGGAGCGCGCATGCTCGCTTTTGGCTTGTCCTGAATAAATCACATAAACTATCGCCGAAGACCCAATATTATACATATCGATGCATGCATATGATACACGATAATATCAACAGACCGATTATAGAATCGAACACAACTTAATTAATTTACTTATAAGGTGACGATTGGAAGAATCTCTTAGAGTTGTATATAAAATTAACAACTTAAGTCTAGTCTGAATTATATAATCACGACATTGTTATAAATTTAATAAAATTTAGCGTTTTGACTCGTTTCTTAGTGCAGATAACTGACAATAATCAATTGTAAATATAATAAATGCAATAATAAGTAATTTGCTTCATAGTTAGATATAGTTTAATATAGTTTACCAAAGGCACTGCAAGAAGGTCTGGAAGATCTAGTCGACAATACAACATTTTTAAAAAGACAGTCACAGCCATTTTAAAACAAAAGTTTTAATTAAATAATGTACAGTAAAATGCAACTTATGTTTATGTTCATTTATCAATTGGTTTTTCTTTCTGTCTCTCTTGAAACGGCCGTATTTTCAAATATTTCAGCCAAAATATTTGTTTTACAATAACAAAAGCTACCAATCCCCCAACTAGTCAGAATGTGCTGGGAGTCTTAGGATTTGATTCATCTCCACCTTTGGGAGCTTCCTGTTTTGGTGGTACTACTTGAAACTTGATTTCAGAACCTTTCTGTCTTTTTTGTAGTATTCTAGGACTTCCAGATTCTTTCAGGGCAGTCTCCATTGATGTGAACACTTCATCCTTCAAAATAAAAAGTCATATGCTATTATACATAATCATAATGTGCGGTAAATGTTTAACATACAGCTTTTTCCATGTTGTTAACATCCCCATTGATAACCACTCTAACTTCATACCTTTTTGACAACCATTTAATCATCTTATTGCAATGTATCTTCAAATCATGCAAAGATATATTGCTGTTGACAATTAAAACTTTCTCACCCTTCAGAGTTGTGCCACTTTGTCTTTCCTTCTTCTTTTCCTCTCTTTGTTTTAAATCTTCCGCATGGTACTCAGACCCAGTCATTAATTTATAGATAGGTCTCTGGGTTTTGGTGTCTAAATCTAGAATTTTTACCAGTTTAAGGTCACGGCGTTTGGCCAATTTTTGTGCTTCTGCTAGGGTTGAAATGGAGACTAAGTCACCATTTACCAGTGTTATTCGAGGTATAGGTGTAGTTTTTGGTTTCTTGGGTGGTGTAGAGCCATCAGTTGATACTTTATCAGCGTTCGTTGAGAGGTATTTTGATATACTTCGAATGTTTACAAATCGAATTCGATTTGATATACTTATCAAAGACATTTCTTGGGATTTATTGCACAAACTTCAACTTTACTATATTTCAAAGACGCGCATAAACAGATGTAACCTTAAAAAGTCACATTCTCCAAGAATAACAAGTCGGGATAGATAGGTATGTAGATGCAGCATCTATAGCTCCTCAAATTTACTGTGTGATTTTGTTTAGTGAGTCGTGAATGATGGAAGGAAATAAACGGAGTAATGCAGGTATTTATAGAATCAAGTAGTCCATCTTTCAAATCCACTTAACAATTTCTTTTTAAGATTTTAGTCATTCCAACAATGAAATTGTAAAAAAACAAAAACTGGAAGCATGTCCTCATGCACTCAAATGTTATCGCCGCAATCCACATCATTTCAAGGAATATGATCATCCACACTGTAAGATATTATTTATGATACACAAATTAATTCACTAAACCCTGGAAGTCCTTAAAATTTATATCAAAGAGTAAATAATTTATCAATGCTGGTTTGCAGTGTCACGAACAAGATTCCAGAGAAACTTTCTTTAATTTTAACTAATTGTTTATCTAAATTGATTAATAATATCCATTTTTGCAGTAAATGAATTTTTAGAAACTACTTCACCAAAGTTTCCAAATTCTTTTAAACAGGAGCACACTGTTTATTTGGAACAATTGGAAATTCTTCGAGAATTGAAGAAAATAAAGCTAAATGCATCACAGCCAGTCAATATAGAACAAAAGGAAGAAGCGAAGCCAAAAACTAGTAGGAGTGTTCAAGAAGTGATAAAGGCAACAACATCATCTTTCTTTAATAAAAACAAAACCACTGCTCATTCTCATAAGAACATTGTGCCTAATAAAATGGATCTGAAGGGCAAAAAAGTATTGAAGAATGCTAAGACAATGAAGGAAAAGTTGGAGATTTGTGCACCATATAACTTATTTTTTACAAAGGTGCCAGAAGCTGCTAAAACAATGAATGGTTATAACTGCATTTCATTTCCAGGTATTTCTTGTTTAGGTTAATTATTACGAAAATTATTATTTAATGCATTAATTGATTTAAATAGATTTAATTTGTCCAAGTATTGGAATTCTTGAAAAATCATTACAACTAAATTTTATGATTGATGTTAGTTGGTTAATTGAACAGTATCAAGTACATAACTTGCAGTAAGTAGTTATAGAAAAGTTTTTGTATTAAGTTTTATTGCTCAAATGTTATCTTATAGTACAACCCCTTTAACCATCGTATACGGATATGATTTCCCTATGATGAAGGAGTACATCGCGAAAAATTTGCCCAATGTAACGCCACATCAAGTTAACTTGAAGGATCCGTTCGGTATTCATCATTCGTAAGTTAACTAACTGTTTTATTAGGTTGGCAGCACTATTATAACATTGCCCATTGCAAAATTATAGAAAAATTGGTATATATAAATTTGAAAACGATATTATAAGAATAGTAGTATCAACAGCTAACTTATACTATGAAGATTGGAATCATTACAATCAAGGGCTGTGGTTGAGTCCTCCACTGTCCAAAATGGACGCCGCCAAACAGGATTTTGAATGCGCGGGACCCACTGGTTTCAAAACCGATTTTCTCGCATATTTAAAGAGTTACAATTTGGACGTCCTAAGACAATGGATTGAAATTATAAAGAGGACGGATTTTTCTCCAATTAAGTATGTTCATCAATTGCAAATCTCACACTTGAGATAATACATACTTGCTTCTAGGGTTTATTTTGTCAGTTCAATTCCTGGAAGACACTATCCACGTAACAATGGCAGTCACGTTCACCGCGTTGGCGATTTGTTGAGCAAACACTGTTCACTTCCCGTGAAAACCACACCGGATTCTGAGGGCGCTTTATCATGGGGTGTGATTGCTCAATCATCCAGTTTGGGCAGTTTTGGAAAGAGCGCTGGTGATTGGTTAAGACCAGTTTTGTTAAGGGCTTTGGCAAGTCACAAAAACTCAGTACTACCAGCTACACCCAAAGCTACTCTAAGCTTAATCTACCCCACAGTGAAAAATGTCTTGGGAAGTCATTTTGGACCACAAGGTGGTGGCTGTTTGCCGTATGGCAAATCAGTGAATGATAAACAAAAATGGTTAAAAGAATATCTTCAGTAAGCATGACAGAAATTGTTTGTTAGTTTTATATATTTTTTATTATTTTGCCAGTGTATGGAAAGCTGACACCACTGGTAGATCGCGCGCAATGCCCCACATAAAGAGCTACGTGCGAGTTTCGCCTTGTATGACAAAATTAGCTTGGTGTTTGATCACAAGCGCGAATATCTCAAAAGCAGCGTGGGGTGGCAATTCGAATCGTGATGGCGGTACTTATATTCGATCGTATGAAGCAGGCATCATGTTTTTGCCGCATATGTTTGAAGAGGAGTATTTTTATATTGAGCGCAAAGAGGGAGATGAGGGTCATTTGTTTCCGTTGATGTACGATTTGCCTTTGGAAGCTTATCAAAGTGCAGACGAACCTTGGTGTAATTAAGTTTGTAACGTTAAACATGTGTAAGTCCTCAAGTATGGTTTTTCTCCACGCGCTGCATCTCCTGAACTAATATACTTTGCGGAATTAAATCCTGTATCTCCCTGTATCGAAATTTATTGCGAGAAAATTCCGTAACGCGAGTTATATTGATAGTTGTGAGTATACGCACTTGTACTCATTGCGCTAGGAATTGTAGTTTTGTATTATAACACGCGAACGCGGTCTTACTGTAAGTTCTGAATAATTTTATAAGATGTGGAATTTAATTCTGCATTTCCCTGTAATGAAATTTATTACTAGAAAATTCCGTAACGCGAGTTATAGTGATAGTTGTGTGTGTACGCACTTGTACTCGTTGCGCTAGGAATTATAGTTTTTGTATTATAACACGCGAACGCGGTCTTACTGTAAGTTCGGAATAATTTTCTTAGATGCGGAATTTAATTCTGTATCTCCATGTATCAAAATTTATTGCGAGAAAATTCCGTAACGCCAGTTATATTGCTAGTTGAGTGTATACGCACTTGTACTCGTTGCGCTAGGAGTTGTAGTTTTTGTATTATAACACGCGAACGCGGTCTTACTTTAAGTTCGGAATAATTTTATAAGATGCGGAATTTAATTCTGTATCTCCCTGTATCGAAATTTATTGCGAGAAAATTCCGTAACGCGAGTTATATTGATAGTTGTGTGTATACGCACTTGTACTCGTTGCGCAGTACCGGCGTTAGGGCATGGCGCGGTTGGGCGACCGCCCAGGGGTGCCGAATCGCACTTGGCCAGTTTTTTCGTATGGGTTTGAATTGCAGTTAGGGGACGCCGTAGAACTCACGCCCAGGGCGCTGGTAGTGCTAAAACCGGCACTGAATGACGTCAATGGAAATTAGAAGTAACGTATTTCCAAATTTTAATATTTATTTGTTTTTATTTATTATGTAGTGAAACCATGTGATACCGAAGTTACACAGCTATAGAAAATTGTTTCACCACACGTGTACAAAGACATTTACAAAGTACCATCTTGATTGTATGATGTCCAATAAAAGACAACTTAATATTATATTTACAAGCATATTTATTTTTGTATCCCCATTGTCGGTTTCAGGAATCATTTAAAAATATCATTTGGTTTCATTTACGTGTGTGCGTGACAAAACATAAGTGTTGTTCTTTTAAAAATATAAATAAAAGAGCAACATTTATACCTGAAACGAATAGAGTAAGATAAGAGAGCGCGGTGGCTCAGGTGCATGTACCTGTACTTGCGTATTAGAGATTTATGGTTCGAATCCCAGTTGAGCAAGGATGTTTTCTTAAATATCAAAATAAATCCGAGTAATGTGGGTTGCCTTGCCTATGCATCAGAGTTGAAATTCAAATGAAATTCGAATAACAGCGAAGAACGAGAAGGAGAAGACCGGCTATACAGAGAAAAGAAGTTGGGAATACAGGAGTACAGGAGTGGCTGATATTTTTAATTTTTTTGGCCCGTGTCGTTAGACAGTCTAAACCCACTGCTTCGATGCTTCCATTGCTCCCGGCCCATCCTACAGCTACGATGTCTCTGCGCTTCATCCCCGAAATTATCAGGCATATCAACAATTTTTATGGTGGGGGATCATCCCCAGAGTGGGAGATCTCCTTATAAGGACATCGTTTTAAAAACTTATAAAAATATTTCTAAGTTTTAAGTCGTCTCAAGAGAGGAGACACTTAAAAATATTCTTACAAGTTCTGACCTGTACCTGAAATGAAAGAAGGGGTACACACAAATCATATGGTTCAAAATCACTTGTAATATTTTATTATTGAAACATGTATACAATGAAAACTTAGAATAAATAATACTAAACAAAATATACGCCGCCATCTTTGAATCTAGTTATACGACCAGTATAGCCCCGCACATGCAGACAAGTACCTAGAGTAAAGAAAATAACAAACAAAACATATAATACTATCAAAATTTGTATAATTTTCACGGTAATCACGGAAAACTATTATACAAAGTGTTCCAAAAACAATGTAGTAATATTTTAAGAGAAAATGTAAAGTTCTAATAGAAAAATATATATATAAAACCACTCTCAATGTAATATCACAGGAAATTAATATACAGGGTGATGCAAAAAGAAAATGACAATATTTTAAAGGAAAATCATAAGTTTAAGTAAAATAATATATATCGTACCCACTTTTGACAAACTCACTAGGGAAATTAATATACAGGGTGATGCAATTAATAAATAATGGTCTAATAAAGGTTTATTTTCAGTAAATGATAAGAAATATATATATACTGGGTGATACATAAAGAAAAACTAAGATTTAAGTCGGAAAATAGCAGGAAACAATTTACAAGACAACAATAACAGGATGATATAACAAGAAATCCACCAGGAATTAAAAGAAATCAAAATATTTGCATCGAAAATCAAAGATGAGTGACAAAACATAAAAATAAAACATTTAAGATGAACTTGTTCTTCCTCTGGATATTAATGATTAGTAATGGGTTTGTTATTACAAAAATAAAGCACAAAGAAGAATTTTATTTTTAATTATGTAAAACAACTGGCGGCAACCTAGACAAAGCCGCTAGAGAATCTAGAACGCAGCCGACGGCACGCGACAATCTTAATCATTTTAATTCGTACATTAAACGAAAACAAAACAATGTATCGAATTGGTAAGGCAAATCAACAGTAGGTATTGAAGCAAAGGCAAAAATTGTTTGTGTGCTTAAAGACCACGCGGTTTGATTTTCATATGACTGAGGAAATGCGAAAACATACCTTGATGCAAATCAATTTTTGCACTACTGGCATATCCAATAAGTTGTAAGAACCTTAATTAATACAAAAGAGTATCCGACGGCCGACGGAACATCACTCACGCTTTATCTCTGTGTATGTACAATCCTCGTTTAACAAACGCCGCACATCACTCACGCACAATCGTAGAAGCATTTAGAAATTTTACGTAACAACGCGATGAAAAATTAACGAACTCAAGAATAATGAAGAAAATGTGCGTGCAGGTTACCTGACGACAAAAATGAGACTGACCTGGTACGTATGCCAACCGCGTGGCGACCACGCAAATATTGCAGGAGATAAAAACTTGTTTATTTGTAAACAATTATACGTTCAGTGTGGTAGTGCAGAACATGCACAGAATTGTACTCGTACTATGCACGGAACTATTAATTTTAAACTTAAAAATTCCAATTTTTATTTCATGATAAAAAAAATTGAAAAATTTTGCCTTTTTTATGACAAAATCTTTTCTTTAATTTTTTCATTCGAATTTGTTCGTTTTACGAACAAATGAAGTCCGTTTTTTTGTAGCCTTTTTAATTATCGAGATAATCGCAATTTTATCTCGACGGTTTAGACGAAAAATTTTAAGAAAAAAGTTCGACCCTGTTCTTCGGCCAAAAAATTTTTTAAGAGAAAAGTTCGACCCTGTTGTTCGACCGAAAAATATTTTAAGAAAATAACTTCGACACTTTTTCGAATGAAAATAATTTTGATATGATTTCAACACTGTTTTTCAATCAAAAAATTAAATTTATTTAACAAAAATGGCTATTTTTGAACCGCATTTTAGGCCACTTCTGTAAGGGTTAGGGGGTTGGAAAATATGCATCGTGTAGAGAGACTCTCGAACTTTAACATAGTGATGAGAAACTTTTAAAAAGTTAATTAGTTCACGAGATACAGGGTGTTTTCCACAGCATGTATAAAATTTTTTTGAAAAATGCCAACTTTTAAAGAGCATTTTAAGGCACTTCTGAAAAGGCTATAAGATTGAAAAGTATGCATCGTATAGAGGATCTCTCGAACTCCAACATGGCGCTGAGTAACTCTAAAAAAGTCATTTAGTTCGCTAGATACAAGATGTTTTCAATAATTTTTAAATCACTAGTGTTCATTTTACCATGCAAAACTTGAATATATTAACTTTATTTAATATCAATATCATTGATATTATCACAATAGTTCAATATTACTGTATCAAATAAATAATAGATATATATTATTGGCACAAAGTGCTTATTTTCATAATTATATCAGAATAGCTTCAATTGTTGAATTGTATTCCACAAAAGAACTAGCAAAGCATCTCGTTGTGACAATCACTATAATCATCTAACAATCTTCTTGGCGCAATCATTGGCAACATCTAAATCTTAAATCTAGCATATAATTTAATATTTATATACAAACATGGTCTACTAATTCGCATTTGTATAGGTCTCTACAGTCGTATCTACTTTGAACTTCCGAACAGAGCTAAATCTACATATCTACAAGAACAAGTTTCCAGTTTCGTAATCATAACGGTTTTCAAATTGTATTTATAGTAAATAAATTTGTCTCGAGCTAATGTAGCCTGACGATGGATTTTGATATGCATTTTTAATTTATGTATAACTTTATAAACGAACACTCAATCGCTCAGTCGATGGTAAATCTCGAGTTTTTTCATAATCACCTTAGTTAGTATCGTATGATTCGTAGGAATGTGAGGAAGACCGTTTGTGCTTCACGGTGCAGAACAACAACATTGAAGAGATTAATCCAAACAACTAAAAACAAAATTAAAATAAAAATATTTTGATAATCTGCAAGTTTTGATGTTTCCAAATAAAAATATAATTACCTGAATAAATGCAACAATCAATCCAACAATGCCAATGATGTGTAAACGTTGAACGAACCACATGTGGATTTGGTCTGAACAACCTTTGGCATACCACAAATCCGGATTTCCGGCTTCTCCACAGTGTTTTCCTGCAACTGCCGAATATTCCGCACCGGGCAAACAACAAGAGTCGGGAACCCATTTTTGATTGGGCCATGCATCAATGAGGTACCAGTCGACATAATCTCTTACACCACAACAATGAAACTTGAACAAAGAAATAATCATCATTATAATTTTTAAAACATTAAAAAACATCTCAACTTACTTCTCTTTGCAAATGATTCCAAATCGTAACGAGACTATTTGGACCGTGTGCGGATACATTGTAGTGATGTTTGAGTCCATTGGTGAGTTCTTCTTTGAGAACATGGCCGATGCCATCGCGGAAGACAAATGCCACCGAACCGAAGAGAAATTCCGCCATGAACATAAACACGACCATGGCAAAGTACTAATTTTTTTAGATGATATAAAAAAATATTAATTTAATCTTGTTTTTGTTGCATTCTTGATTTCTCACCGTAATTAGAAGACATTTGCTTTGAAACCAAGAACCACAACATCCAAAAAATGCCAGTACGAAAGAAACAGCTCCGATTCCAATCAGCAAAGCGTCAGCGCTCATCAAAGAATATTGCGGTAACAAACTGGTGTATCCTTCATAGGAAACTCTCAGCCATATTCCAACACCGAGTAATCCACAACCGGTAATCTGAAACATTGTAAATTCGATGAAATCAATGCTACTTTCGTTGTGTGGGTTTGTGTGATCCGTGATGTAAGTGATACAGTATGAATTTTATTTGGATTGCAACGTTTTCTTTGTTTTGTTTCGATTGTCTGTAGAAGAACAAAGCGATCAACGTGAGTCACAAGCTGCCGAAGCAGAAAATCAGTTCACACAAACATAATAAAAGTGTACATTGATGTGGTAATGCGAATATTTTGATTACTCTTCAGAATGTGATATTGCTCTTCGAATGACGACGATAAAATTGCAACAAAAGTAATATTTGCTAATTAAAACACTTGTGGGCGAATAAACTGGAGTGCTAATTGTTGCTGGTTGTATGATGGAGAATGTAGCACATTCTGCACTTTGCATTCTGTTCATGTCGGAGATAATTGAGACAATTTGGCGTGAATCATCGGCTAAATCTCGAGAGGAGAATTTACCATCTGCCTTTTTGCGCTCTTTGTAACACACACCGCTTGGTAATTACCCATCGCTCTCACAGGACGCATGCAACAATGCGGGTCATGTCGATCGGCAATTTCGTGACATCAACTATGTCTGATTTAATTACAAATTGCAACTGAACATTGGTTAAAAAATTTCAAAAAAAATCACTTAAAAAATAACTAATAATTGCAGTTTTGGAGTTTAATTCTTTTGGCTATTACGAGAAAACTAAAATGGGCACAGGTTTTCTCTTGAATAATAATAATATTCTATTTTAATATTATGTGGTTTAAAAAACGGAGAAATTTTGTTTTCGAAGTTATAGAAGTCTAAGAATTGGTTATGGTTGGTAATTTGCAATTTTATTTATGTGCTATATAATAATCTATAAATAATTATTATGTTTTTATCTGTATGATGAATAAATAAAATTTTGTTCACTAATTAATTAGTTAAATTAACTTACCCACAAAATAAGATTCATCCAGCAGAACACATGCCGCACACAGGTGTAACCACTCTTCGTCATTTTGTTAATATTTATTTAACTCTCAGACAGTACCAAGAATGAAGAAATCTGCAATAAGTAAAGCATATAAGTAAAATTGTAAGAAACGCAATATGTTCAATTGTATGCTATTTATACAAATCTCCAAATAAAAATTATTTTAAACCGAAGAAAGTTTCCACTTTCTAGTTTATTTGCTATTAAAAATTAGAAACTGCACATGCACATTAGCGAAATGCAATTTTCGATTGTAAAAATAGCATTTTCACAAAAACGGATCCAACATTCAACGAATAGCAGTCATAGCGGATCACTGTAATAATAAATCTCTAGGACCGCTGCGAGGTTGTCGTCGAATCTGTATCATAATAAAACTTCTATTCGTCTAGAACCTACTTTCGTTCCGAGTCATTATATTTCGCCGTTGGCTTCAAGTGAAGAATCAAAGAAGCAATGAACGAAGAAGCATCTAAAGAAATAACTCTGAACACAGTGTGAAAGGTTCACGAAGATTTGATCAAAAGTTGGTCATTGGATTTCATTTTAATATTCTTTTAATTTTTATCAAGGCACATATCGTGGAAGAGTATATTAATCAAACTGCAATAAATATTAAGTTGCAATCAGTTGTTTAATTAACAGTGAAAACAATGAAAATGTATGCCAACTGTACCTGAACCAGTGAGTCTTTTTAAGCCTGATTTTGACTTAAGTCAAAGTGAGTAAGCGAGCACATGTATACTGAGTAAGCGCCGAATGTACTTAACAGTAAATTATGTAAATATTTCTTGGCTTACCGGCGTGTACAACAACGCCTACATTTGTTTCACGTCATCGTTTATGTCTCCCTTCAAGTATTATAAGTAAGTTTTTGGTTAAAAGTGATTTATTTTAGTTAGAAAAAAACTCAATAAAACTTAATTAGGGATGATTCTATCTTTTACGTAACCAAACTCTAAAATTTTGAAGAAATCGATGTGTTGAATTAATTAGTATTCAAAGATTCTATTTATAACTGCAAGAATTTAAAAAGAGGCGGATATCTAAATTGCTTATATTATATAAGTCAGCTTATTTAGATATCAAGCAGTTGACTGCTATTTAAATACTGCGGTTGTGTTAAGTTTTATGTTTTAATTATTAAAGTGTCGCACTCGTGATGCTTAAATAATTGCAGCTTCTGTTCAGTGTCAGTGCGATAAAAATTAGCGGCCGACAATCAAACAGCTCACACGGCGTGTTACAAAACGCTCTTTTCCTCTTCCCACGAATGACGGCCCTCCCCTGATCCTGTTGCGACTTGTGACCCTTCGCATCATTTGCGTTTATTTAATTGAAGCGGATATTCTAATATCACACACAACATCTACATTAAATACTATAACACTCAATAAACACAGATTGACTGTCTTTATTTCCTTTGTCAAAAATCAGTGTCAGTTTTACAATTTTCACTTTTCCAAGTTTTAAGTAAAGTGGTTTAAGTCATGTTAGTGATGCATTTGACTTGGTCAGATTAAAATTCTGTAAGGTTACGAGTTCATCAACAAATTGAAGGTCAACACCGGCGATTATTATCGCTACGAAAACAAATTACAGTAGCTTAAGTACATTTTTTAAAACTTAAGTAAAGTGTAGGTTGTAATGCGCTTTGTATCTTTGGAACTTACTTAAAATATTTGATTGTAGTAAGTGTTGAATTTTCGCACTGGGTCAGCACATCACGATTGACACATAATTGTAATTAATCCAGTAATGCGCGACTAAGGCGCGATGTAAAAATAAATCGTACACGCGGACGCGCCGTCAACGTCCACCGCGAGACTGGCGAAGCAGCGAAGGTTGAATTCGCGCTCAGCGTGTTTAGTAAGTATGCTTACGTCCACATCCACAGTCATTCTTTCCTGCTGGTGTTAGTTCCCTGCTAGCGTTTCCCACTCTACGACTACATCGTTGTGTTTTCAAACGAACAGCGCAATGCACGCACGTGAACTTTGAAGCGCGTTTGATGCATTGATGCTTTGATGTTAGGAACGTACGAATAATCTAAGCAAGAGACGCATGGGCAGAAAGAACGGACTATTGCCATGTATCTTCCGAGATTTCTTTCGTGTTAAGTCTCTTAAGTTATGCAGAATCATATTTTGTTTTGATTCTATTAAAACCATTTTTAACAAACTTTTGAAAACAAAATGAAGTTATCATAACAAAAAATTACAAATATTCTTCAAATACCTCTTTAATTCTTAATTAAAATCTTTCAGTTCTTATGACAATTCAATTCCGCTTTAAAAAAATTAAGTTATATTAAATAAATTCAAAGAGTAAAATAAAAGTGTCTACTCTTTTTTCGCAGTCTCATACTAGATGCCTCGATGCTATCAATCCATAACTTCAATTCAGCAGGAACTTCCGGTCTGTACGATTCATCCTTTTTAAAAGACGGCTCATAATCTCAGGAATGTTGATGTTGATGATTTTATTCTGACTCAGCATGATCGCCTTCACAAAACCATCCGATGAACAGAATTGTTGCTCAAAGTAAATATTCTTATCATCCCAGAATAAAACCTTTAAAAATATGATCTTAGACAGACGATTAATACAATATTTAAAAAAGTAACCTTTGTTTTTAAGACGTAGGAAGAAAAGATCGGAATTGGTTTTCGATATCGCATTGAAAGTGCACCTTGAAGGATGTGTCCGTTGGTGTTACGAATTTCTGTCAACATTCTTGTTCTTGCGAAGAAGTGGAAGCGACCAAAATCTGCTTCGCGGATGTAACGTGCATTGTTCATATGACTCAGTAAGAAGTCCATGTCTTGAGTAGTGCAGAATCCTAAAAAATTTATTTGTAATAAAAAAATCATGTTTATTTTATGATTTAGGTTTTATTAGATTAGATTATGAGTGTATATAAACTTTTAATTTAATATATTTTTATTATATGAGATCGTAAAATAAGAATTAATTAATTACGCAATATTATAGTATCAGTTATATTCTTATCATGATATGACGCAATTGTCCAGCTAAATGCGGCGATGGTCTCATAGTTTTAATTTTTAATTACTGCGAGTGAAACAATTGTCGGCACAAAAGTGCACAGTAATGTTGGTTACTGTTATGTACAACCAATGCGAATCATCACATGCGCATGCGTTCATTACTTTCTATGATTTTTTAAATACTAATTATTATCTTACCTGGCATTTCAACCTCTTCATCAACGCGCATCGTCGATTGAAAATAAGTACCATAAAGGATAGTTGCACCGGCGCGTAGGAAATAATTCACGTCCACGAGGATGTACAACATCATTATGAGGAACAACACAATAATGGCGTAAATGGTGAACATGTCCACGTCCAAATCTAATTTAAGCATCTTGATGATTTTTCTCAGAACTTGGTTGACTATAAATTTCAAATTTTAAGCCAATTGCTTAATATGGATGTGTTTAAGTATTGAATGTAACCGTAGTTGAAATTTTTAATTTTATTTACTGGTGCGCAAAAGGTGTGTGCGTCGCGGTCGATGTTCGCGAGCGGAGTGCACCGGCAATTACCTGAACTCGCTGAAGTCACCGACTCATGCTTACTGCCATTAATGCCATTTCTCCTCGTTGAAAGTTTGTGGTTATAAGTAGGTACTTACAACGGCTTAAGCTAGGGACAATGACTGGACATAAATATTTTAATAAATTTAAATTTATTGATGATTTTAAGTTAAATGATTTAAAATCAAATTAACAATAATAAATGATAAATTTCAATATAAAATATTATTTTATCTAATTTTGTTTCAGACGAAATTACGATTAACTCCGGCTGTGAACAACGTATTGAATTGAGCCAATCAACAACAAAGTTTTTTTCAAAATATATTTATTACAAAAAAGAATGTACAATGTGTGCCATTTGACAAACAAGTAGACATTAATTGCGATTGCGGTCCGCTGTGCATGTAACCGTTGCTGTTGCTGTTAACGAGAAGGCAATTAAATGATAAACATTAAACGAAACGTGTTTTACAAATCACAGCGCACAATAAAACATTTAAAGTTTAAAACTCTCAACGAATAAACGAATAAAATCGACGTTTCTTAGGTTAGGTTTAGTTTTAAAGCCATCTGTAAGCCACTTGCCACTTAATGTAAGTACCCTCTTAGTAACACTAACATCTTTAATTTAAGCAACAACAAATATATATTATATTTATTTCCTTTTAAAATTTGTTCCCTACTCATATATATATTCTATATCTAATTTCCAATATTTTATATCATACTTGTCATATTAAGATCGACAATAGGTGATATTTCTGGTTAGGTTATGTTAAATAGACTTTGGAAATTTAACAAGTGGCTAAATCTCATTAATCATTAACGCTGGTTTATCGGGTCATTAAAATTCACTCGCAAATGAATGCAATGAACGAAAAATGTGTGTTGATAATTTTTAGTTTTAAGTTATGTTAAGCTATATCACATGAGAACGCAGTGTGGCGAGACCGGAAGTAACACACAATCCGTTTCTTAAAAGTATTAAAAGTTTACAATTAAATCGGAGAATTAAAAAAAATAAATTAGTTGATTGAGTTAAACTTTCGCTCCGTTAACTAAAATAGTTTGATGTCAGCAATCCGAACGTAGATTAGAACTAGAGAGCGCGTTGTATTCGCACCACTTTGCTACCTCCAAGGGCATTTCCGGTTTTAGTTTTGTCTCACCCTCGACATCGCCAGAAGAAGGCGAAGTGGAACGCAACTCGTTCATTACATCTTCGGTATTGCAATCCATTAATCGTGTGCGTGTTAAAACAATGGCGTTTATAAACTTATCCGATGGGTTGATGAAGCGATGCTCCATGAAAATACTTTGATCATCCCAGTATGTAATCTAATCGTTAGAGAAAGCAAAAATATTAATATTAATCCAACAAAAATGATCAAAAATTTTTTATCTATTTTTGTTAATAACTTTGTTATTTTTGCGTTTTTTTGACTTTTGTAAAGGAACTACAGATCACTTACCCGACTGGTAATAGTATATCTATTGAAGAGTCTCACAAACCGCCTGTAACGTATTGTAGTCGCCCCCATAGCAATACTGCCACCCTTGCTGCGTATACGTTTGTAGAGTCCGGTGCGCTCATAGAAGTCCACGCGCGCAAAGTCTAATTCTCGAATAAACCTCGCATTGTTCATGTGATACAGAAGCGTATCAATGTCAGTCGTTATGCAGATACCTGCAAAACAATCAATTTTTATTTAATTACAAAAAATATTTAAAAACAAACTTACCGTTTACAGAAGTTTCGTCTAAAATGTGAACTTGCTTCTTACAAAATCTTGCAAGTATAACCGTCAAGGTCATCCTGAGAAAGTAGTGTAGTTCCAGGCTGGCGTAGAGCAGCAGGACAACGAAAATAAAGACGCAAGCAAAATAGCACAAACCCATCGTTGGCTTACTTGCTACCTCACAATATTCACAGTGCCACAGTGTATGTACTTGTTTAATATTTCCGATACTTATGATATGGTTGTTTTTAGTATGGCACCGGTCATTGGGTAATGTTTTTTGCTGAGCTTGGTAAACGTATAATATTTAGAACGTTAAATGTATTTAGTATGCCCAAACCGATGAAAGACATTTGTATATTGACACGCCGCCACCATTGCTTTTGCCGCCGCCCCCAACGCACAGTGATGCGCTCGATATGTGAACGCATGCGTGGTAAATCTTAGATTTTTAAAAGTTTGGCAAAATTAATACTATGAAAGCAGACACTCAATTAATATTAATACTATTATAAAATTTACGTTAAAGTAAGCATTTATTGCACGCTAGTATGATTTTGTGCACAATTTGCAATATTGTTGTATGTACATCGTGTGGTAGTGGTACTATTGCGGTTTTGTAACAAACAAAAAGGAAAATAAACAATAAGTTGTTGTTGAGTATCAGGCGGACATGAAGCACGTAGAGATGCTCTTGCGGTTCAAGTTCTTCCACTTCTTCAGCGTTTAGTTCATCGTCTAGAGGCTAGGTTCTAGTTTCTAGTCGAAGAGCGCAGTTTGTTGAACTTTCACGTTTCTGCTGGACGGACGTTAAAGCGGTGCATAAATTGAAGTTTATTGGGTGCTTGCGCGTCAATTAATGGCCGGAAACAATCCGAACTCTGGTGACTCTACGTAACACATTATACATCAGGCCTATATACATAACGCATATCAAACGCAATAAAACATCATATAGGAACTTGAATTTATAAATGTCTGACTTACATCCAGGCAACCATCCATACACGAGTGTCAGGTCAGTTTTATCAAATAAAATAAAAATTGGAAAATATTCGCACTTTTAAAAAGTTTTCTTGCATTTTTCTACAATTAAGTGTTCAATGCCTATTAAATGCTTTCTAGGGGTTCCAGGGATTAAAAGGGCGAGTGCACATGCTCAAGTACCACACATGAGTACAATAATTCAAATAATAATGACAACAATCAAAAATATTTATATTAATAACAGCAATAATAAACAATAATTGAGCTCAAGTCACTTTCGTTGATCTTCTATATACATTGATGTCAATGTCATGCCCAAATAGAAATAGTACATAAATTAGTAACTGTAAAATAACCATCACCTAATTTAAAATAAACTTTTTTGCTTCTGAAAAGTTGAAAAGTTATTCATCTTCAGATGTGTCTTCTTCATCTTCCTCATTCCTGTAACGATCACTACACCAAACTATATCATCGGCTTGATAAGGCTGCAGTGGTAAATCAAACATCACCGGAAATAATTTACCGTCGTCTCCTTCTGGACGCTTCACGTGCAAATACTCGTCATCAAACATATGAGGCAAAAACAATACGCCTGCTTCATACGATCGAATATACGATCCACCATACCGATTTGGATAACAGCCCCAAGCCGCTTTTGATATATTGCCGCTGGTAATCAAACACCACGCTAATTTTGTTAAACATGGCGAAACTCTCATGTAACTTTTAATGTGAGGCATTACCTCTGACCTTCCAGTGTTATCAGCTTTCCATACACTAAAATCATAACATTTAACTGAGAGTGTAAACAATTTAAATCAAAAACGTACTGAAGATAATCTCTAAGCCATTCTTGTTTTTCATTGATATTCATTTTATATGGAAGACAGCAACCACCACTCCGACCAAAAATACTGTTTTCAACGTTTTGATCTGTGGGGTAGATCAAGCTCAAAGTTGGATTTCGTGGCGCTCGTTTGTTATAAGGTGAAGCTTGGTGGCTTGAGAGTGCCCGCATTAAAATAGGCTCTAACCAGTGGCCTAAATTATCTCCAAACAGCCCAAGACTGGATGCTTGCGCAATTATACCCCATGAGAGAGCACCTTCAGGGTCATGTCCTGTTTCGCTGGGCAGGAGCATTGTTTGCTCAATATATCACCTACGCGATGAAAATGACTGCTTTTGCTTCCTGGGTGATGATTTCCAGGAATTGAACAGATGAAATACACCCTATAAGTAAAAAATAATTAGTTTAAATATATTATAGTAGTAAATCCTCTTTATTTACTTTACTGAAGAAAAATCAGCACGTTTAATTAATTGAATCCATTCAGTTAGGACATTAATGTTGTATGACTCCAAATAAGTTAATAAATCAATTTTGAAGTCGGTGGGTCCAGCGCAATCAAAATCGTGCTTGACGCGGCCATTTTGGGCAAGGGAGGACTCATCCAAAGTCCTTGATTGTAACGATTCCAATCTTGAAAGTATAAGTTGGCCGAAGAAATGACAATTCTTATTGTGTCATCACCAAATTTATAAATTCCAATTTTTCTGCACAAAAAATGAATGCAATAATTTAACAATAATTCAGTTATTCATCTTACGAATGGTGAAGTCCATATGGATTTTCCATTGTCACTTTATGCGTCTTTACATTTGGATATGTTTCCGATATGTATTCGCTCATATCTTCCACAAGTTCCCGCCCCCAAATAACTGTAATGGGTGTTGTACTGGAAAGTGGATGATTTACTCCAGTTATAAATTTATGAAATTTGTAACTTACTGTAAGTTATGAACTTCATATTGATCAATTAACCAGTCGATATCAAGCATAAAATTGATTTGTAAGGACTTTTCCAAGATTCCAAGACTTGGACAAATTAAATCTAAATATATATTATTAATAAAATAAGTGTACAACGTAAATATAAATACAGAATACCTGGAAACGCAATACAATTATATCCAGTTGTCTTAGGCTCCTCAGGAATCGTAGTAAAAAATAAATTAAACGGTGCACACAGTTCCAATCTTTCCCGCATTGTCAGGACTTTAATGTCTTTGCTTTCTGTTGTATCCATTTTATGGTAGAAAATATACAATTATATATTACTGCTTTTAAATTATACGTGCGGACTGAGTGAACCACAATAGGTTTGTGGGATTTTTGGATTTATATTAATTCAGTTATTGGAACTTGATATTGGATTAGATTAAAATTTAGATAAGATAAAATTCCGCATAATACTGTGTTTGTATGTACAATAAATGTTTAACTCAATCACCTAGGCAACTACCGACAAAACGCATATATTGAATTTATCATATACCAGTTTATATATAGCGGTAGTAGTGAGTCCCATTCTGGGCCCCGTTCGAAGGTAGCGGTAGAAGTGACTCCCAATCAGAGCACTTTACGTAGGTAGCGGTAGAAGTGACTCGCATTCAGGGCACCTTACGAGGCTAGCGGTAGAAGTGACTCGATTCAGGATACCTTACGAGGCTAGCGGTAGAAGTAACTCGATTCAGGGCACCTTACGAGGCTAGCGGTAGAAGTGACTCGGTTCAGGGCACCTTACGAGGCTAGCGGTAGAAGTGACTCGTGTTCAGGCCACCGTACGAGTGTAGCGGTAGAAGTGACTCGGTTCAGGGCACCTTACGCGGCTAGCGGTAGAAGTGACTCTAATTCAGGGCAGCGTACGGGGGTAGCGGTAGAAGTGACTCCCAATCTGGGCACCCTACGAAAGTAGCGGTAGAAGTGATTCCCAATCAACCAATATCTTCTAAACTAAAAAAGATAACGACCAACAAATTGAAGATTATAAAAGTTTGGAAAATTCTTTATTATATAAGATTAGAAAATAATTAAAATTTGGGCTATGAAGATTCGGAAGTCGTTACAAAGTGTGAAAAAGTGGACATTTTCATTTTTTTCGGAGTAATGGTTGATTGCAAATATCACTAATTACGGAAATTAAAACCGGTATTGAGAAACGTATTGAAAATTATAAATCTACGGGAAATTCTCTTTAAGACAAAGTATTAAAATAGTGCATGTTGTGCTTCCGCTCAGCAAACCAGGTCGCGACAATTCTTGTTAAGACGCAAGGATGGCACGCAATCTTGTGCACAAATTGCAATAGACAATTCCTTTCGATATAAACTAACACCAGCAACAAAGCGAGACGTGCGATGATGATAACGAAAACACACGGCAATTTTGGACGTTGTAATTCGCACGGGAATAAAAACGTGTAAATCGTGTTCAAAACAAACACAATTCTCGTATCGAATGCCCACGTTTGCTGATAAATATAGAAATAAACCGTACAATTCTATTTTACAATTTTTAGTCATGCTAGTGCCATCTATAAATGATACAGGTAGTAGTCCAACACTATAGATTATGTATTAAAATTAATGAAAAAATTAAGTTGGGTTTATGTAATTTAAAACAAACAAAAATTTATATATATATCCGTTTAATATTTAATAAAAACTACCTACATTCGACATATAAAAGCTTTTGAAACAATTGGAATTTTAAGTTCGAAATTAAAAGTTTCATGCGTATGAGTACAATTTGTTTCATATTCTGCATTACTACACTGAAAGAATCATTGTGTACAAACAAACAAGTTTTTTTATCGCGTGCAATTTTGATGCGGTCGCCACGCGGTTGGCTTGCGTATCACGTTAGTCTTACTTTTGTCGACAGGTGACTTGCACACACATTTTCTTCATTATTCTTGAGTTCCTGGATTTTTCTTCGTGTTGTTACGTAATATATCTAAATGCTTTTTCGATTGGGCGCGAGTGATGTGCGGCGTTTATTAAATGGGGTTTGAACATTCGTAGAGATAAAGCGTGAGTGATATTTCGTCGGCCGTCGGATACTCCGTTGTATTACACTTGTATTTCATCGTTCCTACAATGTTCATAATTAAGGTCCTTACAACTTATTAGATCTGCCAAAAGCGCAAAAATTTATTTTGCATCAAGGTATGTCTTCGCATTTTGTCAGTCAAATGAAAGTCAAATCCATTATTGACTTTACATGTTTTTACTTCAACCGCATGGTCTTTAAACACACAAATAATTGTTGTCTATGTTTCAATACCTACCGTTGGTTTGCATCACGAATTCGATAAATTGTTTCATTTTCGTTGAAAAAGGTTAACGTTTGCCGTTGGCTACGATCCGCTGGCAGCTTTTCGGATTGATCGCCGGTTAGTTTCGGTGATTAAAATTAAAATTCTGCTGTTTGCTTTATCTTTGCAATTTGTAAATCGTCAAAAATTGAAAAATGTCACATTTTAGCACTTTTGCCCACGTTTTTACACTTTTTACACCACAAATCTTAATTATTTTAATATCATATCTGATAGAGAATTTTCCAGTCTTTTATAAGCTATAATTCGCTGATTTATATCTCTGTTAGTTTAAGAGATATTAATTATCAAAAATCGTCGAAAAAAAGTATCAAGCACCCCCCCTTGTCAATTTTTTCTTAGGAACAAAAATTTCATCTCTCAGATTTCCCTTTTAACTATTGTATCTGATAGAGATTGGTCCGTACATTAAGACGCTGCGATCAGATCTTAATTATCTCTTTTAGTTTACGAGATATTCGCGTTTGAATAAAATGGGCAAAAATTGAAAAATGTCACTTTTTACCACTTTTACTCGCGTTTTTCGACCTTTTACTGTAGGAAATATAATCATTTTATATTTTTATCTGATACAGAATTTTCCAATCTATCATAATCAGTAATTTGTTGGTTGCTGTGGCTTTTAGTTTAAGAGTTATGAATTTTCAAAAATCGTCGAAAAAAAGTATCAAGCACCCCCCCTTGGCAATTTTTTCTTAAGAACGAAAATTTCATCTCTCAGATTTCCCTTTTAGCTATAGTATCTGATAGAGATTGGTCCGTACATTAAGACGCTGCGATCAGATCTTAATTATCTCTTTTAGTTTACGAGATATTCGCGTTTGAATAAAATGGGCAAAAATTGAAAAATGTCACTTTTTACCACTTTTACTCGCGTTTTTCGACCTTTTACTGTAGGAAATATAATTATTTTATATTTTTATCTGATACATAATTTTCCAATCTATCATAATCAGCAATTTGTTGGTTGCTGTGGCTTTTAGTTTAAGAGATATGAATTTTCAAAAATCGTCGAAAAAAGGTATCAAGCACCCCCCCTTGGCAATTTTTTCTTAAGAATGAAAATTTCATCTCTCAGATTTACGTTTTAACTATCCTATCTGATAGAGAATAGTCCGTAGATTAAGACGCTGTCAATTTTTTCTTAAGAACAAAAATTTCATCTCTCAGATTTCCCTTTTAACTATTGTATCTGATAGAGATTGGTCCGTACATTAAGACGCTGCGATCAGATCTTAATTATCTCTTTTAGTTTACGAGATATTCGCGTTTGAATAAAATGGGCAAAAATTGAAAAATGTCACTTTTTACCACTTTTACTCGCGTTTTTCGACCTTTTACTGTAGGAAATATAATCATTTTATATTTTTATCTGATACAGAATTTTCCAATCTATCATAATCAGCAATTTGTTGGTTGCTGTGGCTTTTAGTTTAAGAGTTATGAATTTTCAAAAATCGTCGAAAAAAGGTATCAAGCACCCCCCCTTGGCAATTTTTTCTTAAGAATGAAAATTTCATCTCTCAGATTTCCCTTTTAACTATTGTATCTGATAGAGATTGGTCCGTACATTAAGACGCTGCGATCAGATCTTAATTATCTCTTTTAGTTTACGAGATATTCGCGTTTGAATAAAATGGGCAAAAATTGAAAAATGTCACTTTTTACCACTTTTACTCGTGTTTTTCGACCTTTTACTCTAGGAAATATAATTATTTTATATTTTTATCTGATACAGAATTTTCCAATCTATCATAATCAGCAATTTGTTGGTTGCTGTGGCTTTTAGTTTAAGAGATATGAATTTTCAAAAATCGTCGAAAAAAAGTATCAAGCACCCCCCCTTGGCAATTTTTTCTTAAGAACGAAAATTTCATCTCTCAGATTTCCCTTTTAACTATTGTATCTGATAGAGAATAGTCCGTAGATTAAGACGCTGCGATCAGATCTTAATTATCTCTTTTAGTTTACGAGATATTCGCGTTTGAATAAAATGGGCAAAAATTGAAAAATGTCACTTTTTACCACTTTTACTCGCGTTTTTCGACCTTTTACTGTAGGAAATATAATTATTTTATATTTTTATCTGATACAGAATTTTCCAATCTATCATAATCAGCAATTTGTTGGTTGCTGTGGCTTTTAGTTTAAGAGATATGAATTTTCAAAAATCGTCGAAAAAAAGTATCAAGCACCCCCCCTTGGCAATTTTTTCTTAAGAATGAAAATTTCATCTCTCAGATTTCCCTTTTAACTATTGTATCTGATAGAGAATAGTCCGTAGATTAAGACGCTGCGATCAGATCTTAATTATCTCTTTTAGTTTACGAGATATTCGCGTTTGAATAAAATGGGCAAAAATTGAAAAATGTCACTTTTTAGCACTTTTACTCGCGTTTTTCGACCTTTTACTGTAGGAAATATAATTATTTTATATTTTTATCTGATACAGAATTTTCCAATCTATCATAATCAGCAATTTGTTGGTTGCTGTGGCTTTTAGTTTAAGAGATATGAATTTTCAAAAATCGTCGAAAAAAAGTATCAAGCACCCCCTTGGCAATTTTTTCTTAAGAATGAAAATTTCATCTCTCAGATTTCCCTTTTAACTATTGTATCTGATAGAGATTAGTCCGTAGATTAAGACGCTGCGATCAGATCTTAATTATCTCTTTTAGTTTACGAGATATTCGCGTTTGAATAAAATGGGCAAAAATTGAAAAATGTCACTTTTTAGCACTTTTACTCGCGTTTTTCGACCTTTTACTGTAGGAAATATAATTATTTTATATTTTTATCTGATACAGAATTTTCCAATCTATCATAATCAGCAATTTGTTGGTTGCTGTGGCTTTTAGTTTAAGAGATATGAATTTTCAAAATCGTCGAAAAAAGTATCAAGCACCCCCTTGGCAATTTTTCTTAAGAACGAAAATTTCATCTCTCAGATTTCCATTTTAACTATTGTATCTGATAGAGAATAGTCCGTAGATTAAGACGCTGCGATCAGATCTTAATTATCTCTTTTAGTTTACGAGATATTCGCGTTTGAATAAAATGGGCAAAAATTGAAAAATGTCACTTTTTAGCACTTTTACTCGCGTTTTTCGACCTTTTACTGTAGGAAATATAATTATTTTATATTTTTATCTGATACAGAATTTTCCAATCTATCATAATCAGCAATTTGTTGGTTGCTGTGGCTTTTAGTTTAAGAGATATGAATTTTCAAAAATCGTCGAAAAAAAGTATCAAGCACCCCCCCTTGTCAATTTTTTCTTAAGAACAAAAATTTCATCTCTCAGATTTCCCTTTTAACTATTGTATCTGATAGAGATTGGTCCGTACATTAAGACGCTGCGATCAGATCTTAATTATCTCTTTTAGTTTACGAGATATTCGCGTTTGAATAAAATGGGCAAAAATTGAAAAATGTCACGTTTTAGCACTTTTACTCGCGTTTTTCGACCTTTTACTGTAGGAAATATAATTATTTTATATTTTTATCTGATACAGAATTTTCCAATCTATCATAATCAGCAATTTGTTGGTTGCTGTGGCTTTTAGTTTAAGAGATATGAATTTTCAAAAATCGTCGAAAAAAAGTATCAAGCACCCCCCCTTGTCAATTTTTTCTTAAGAACAAAAATTTCATCTCTCAGATTTCCCTTTTAACTATTGTATCTGATAGAGATTGGTCCGTACATTAAGACGCTGCGATCAGATCTTAATTATCTCTTTTAGTTTACGAGATATTCGCGTTTGAATAAAATGGGCAAAAATTGAAAAATGTCACGTTTTAGCACTTTTACTCGCGTTTTTCGACCTTGTACTGTAGGAAATATAATTATTTAATATTTTTATCTGATACAGAATTTTCCAATCTATCATAATCAGCAATTTGTTGATTGCTGTGGCTTTTAGTTTAAGATATATGAATTTTCAAAAATCGTCGAAAAAAGGTATCAAGCACCCCCTTGGCAAGAACTTGTGTATAAACAACTTTTTTTTGTTTGACTGACGCGAATTATCGCTACGTACTAGCCTTGTACCTGACTAAGCGAAGCGCACACAGCAGTCGTTTCACCGCGTGGTCCGCGAACGTGTCTCTTTAATCGCTATGCGTTTTGAGGTTTTAATTGAATTAAACGTCATGTACTTTTTCGACCATCAGCAAAATAATCGCAATGGACATGTGTGTTTGTTTTGTTTAAAGATTTGTGGCGTTTAGAGTCTCCTTAAATAAGAAATAAATGTCCATTAATCTGTGCGTGTGTTTTCAGTTGATAGAATATATTTCAGGATATAAAATTCCCTCATCAATGCATAGGTAGGTGTGTAATTTAATTTTTTTTTGTGGAAAGTTCCGCGGGTTTACCTTAAATTGATTATTCTATTTGAGTGATATGAATTGCATGCATCATCTTGTAAATTACAAACACATGGTATGTAGCATTTTTATCAGAATTCTTGGTTCCGTTTCCGAAAATTACATGGATGATTTAATTACTACAAATACTGTTTTAAAAAAGTATCTAAAGATTATTAAAATTGGCAATATTCATATGGTCGACCACGCACACTTTGCCGTCGGCCGTCGGCTCGGCCATCTTTTCGCTGAACACGTGAATGTTTTTAATCGATTTGCATTCCTTCGCATCGTTAAATTAAGAAGTTTCTTATTGACCTAGTAAAATCTTGTACGTTGAATAGTTTTTTGTTTTCATAGTCTCCGTACATCTTAATTTTTACAAAAGAAAAGGTATTTTTATCCTCTCAAACAACTGTCTGCTGATTTGAATGTTTTTCGCCGGATATTCTATCAATTTATGATGATGCTTCACCCGTCGGTTACTTTATGCAGTTGATGCATCAATTAATAAATATACATTCACAATATGTTAAAATGTAAGTGTTTTATTTTTGTACCATCTTTTTGCTCAATTTCCCGATGATTTTTGGGTAAAATCTTGGATTTTATATTAAAATATTGTTGTTTATTTGTAAATTTTCCTCTTCATGTTGTGAATATTAACTCTCTTTGTAGTGTGTCGTTTGTCGTTTGTAGTTTTCTTTTTGTTCCTAACACTACATAGAAAATCGCTGGTATTTGTGAGTTTTAAATGTTCTTTGTTTCAACTAGAGATTTTCTTACTGAAACACCCTGTATATTCCTTTCTTCTTTGTGTCCGTAAAAATTTTGCTTTAACTGTTGTTTTTATGGTTTTCCTCATAGCCCTTTGAATTTTCTTTTTGTGACACCCTGTATATTAGTTTCTCGGCCCTCGGGTGAAAAACGAATGATATTAATAGTGTTAAAATGTTTTTCTGTTTTCACATAAAAAATTCATTTGTAACACCTTGTATATTTGTTTCCATTTTTAATCATGTAGAAAATGGGCTATTTCCTAATTTCTTTATCCCGGTAGTACTTCGCGAAGTGCTACTTGCTTGCATGTGCGCGGCTATGCAGGTCGTAAGTCCTGTTTCATTATGGCCGCATGTATTTTGTTGACTTGAAAAATCTATACTTGTATTCTATTGTTAATAAAGAAATAGTAACATATATTGACTTCTTTTATTTGTGTGTACCCCTTCTTTTATTTCTCCCATTTCAGGTACAGGTCAGAACTTGTAAGAATATTTTTAAGTGTCGCCTCTCTTGAGACGACTTAAAACTTAGAAATATTTTTATAAGTTTTAAAAAGGATGTCCTTATAAGGAGTTCTCCCACTCGGGGAATGATCCCCCACCATAAAAATTGTTGATATGCCTGATAATTTCGGGGATGAAGCGCAGAGACATCGTAGCTGTAGGATGGGCCGGGAGCAATGGACAATTCGAAGCAGTTAGACCTTAGACCTTAGACTGTCTAACGACACGGGCCAAAAAATTTAAAAATCTGAGCCACTCCTGTTCTCGGGATGGCTTTTTCTCATCTTACTCTGTTCCTCCTACTCTGCTCCTTTCCTCAATCTATTCCCAACTTCTTTTCTCTGTATTGCCCGTCTTCTCCTTCTCGTTCTTCGTTGTTATTCGAATTTCATTTGAATTTCAACTCTGATGCATAGGCAACCCACATTACTCGGATTTATTTTGCTATTTAAGAAAACATCCGCGCTCTACTGGGATTCGAACCATCAATCTTGAATCTGCAAGTACAGGTACATGCACCTGTGCCACCGGGCTCTCTTATCATGTTTTAAAAGAACAACACTTATGTTTCGTCACGCGGCGCACACGTAAATGAAACCAAATGTTATTTTTAAATGATTCCTGAAAACGACAAAAACGTAAGCATCTAGTTGGGGACACCAGGTAGATAATTTTAGTATTGTGAGTGTTTTATTAGTAAGTGTTGTGTTGTTATTTTTCAGAAAAAAACTATGATTATATTTTTATTTCTCTTCATTGCTTTATTCACTTATACATATTTAATTACATTATCAATTATATTTGTACATTTATACATATGACACACGCTTACGAGTTTTGTTTTTCAGTCCATTACAAAGTGCCATGCTAACATAATTAAAAATTCGATTAAGTTACATACCTACAACATTTACATTGGCGTATTTTTTTCAATAAAAACAATATTATAGTTAGTATCATCATCTTCAGCCGGAGCAATTTCCATGAAACATTTTAGAACAAATGTTTCGAATGCACAAATGCATATATGGCGATCACACACTCGTTTTAAACCGCGACATTAATAAATAATAATGAACAAAATTATCAGTTCGGCGATTAATATTTATATCCGCATTTCGCCATCCATGTTGGCTTTCGCACGAGTTGGCGCCTGTCGTACGTGATGCGCGGTGGTCAAACCAGGAGTGACTAAAGGTGATATTGACGGACTTTTTGTCGCTAGAGGCGATAAGGATGGCGAGAAACTCGGCGACATAGCAGTTGAGTTATTGTACTGACTGCTCAAGTCATGATTGATAGTTGATCTTGGTAAAACTGAATTGATCTGATTTAAATGGTGATTGGAACCACCCCTGGAATTCAAAACCGGAATGGCTCTAGGTGCTACGCCAGTAATCAGTGGTGGTGGTACACTTTTCACCTGAGAACCCTTGGATTTAGCGCTGGACCCACTTGCCCCTGACTGCACTGAAACGGTATCGTCTTTTAATCTAGCAATTTCACTGAAGACATGTGCTAAAGGTTGGTATTGAGGTCCCCAATCTAATAAATAATCCCAATTGTAACTGCCCGCTAGTTCTTCCTCGCTATGAACTATGGAACTTAAAGATCCATTCATAGAAGGTTGATTGTGATGAGTTGGTACCTGACCGTATCCGCTTAGGTTCATCATATGCTCCATGGTCACACCAACCGCGTCATCTGTCGAACTAGCTCGATCACTATTAGCTACATCGTTTAGTTTTGCGTAAAAATTTGCGATGTCATTGTCTCCACTGGTTTCTTCATCAAATATTAGACTATCTAAAGGTACCTGATTGATTCTGGACGTTTGAGGTACAGCCGTACTGTTGTTGACAATGCCAAGACGTGCAAGATATTCCTGCGTGTTTCTGACGCTAACGTCCGATAAATTATCCCCGTCGTCATTTTGTCTGTGAATTCCTGAGTCTCTTTGTAAAGGTCCTTCATTGATCATTCTGATCTCTTCATCCTCGTTATCATCTCCATCTTCAGCAGAACCTCTTCCACTAGAACCAGACTGTTCTGAGCCGGATAACTCTGATGTTGTTGCAGCTCCCGAATTGCTGCTGGCTGCTGCTCCATAAGGAGGAATCTCGTCATACTTTGGAGGAGCAAATTGAACATTAGCATTACCACCACGTATCGGTATTGTGTCAAACGCACTCGGATCAACATAATTATTCGTGGTGACTGGTTCCTGTCCACCTAAGTTAGGCTTATTCACCTTTTTATTACGCTTATTCTTCATGTGTAGGAAGACAAACAGTGCTCCGAAAGTTAGTAATAATAACAATAGAGCAATGAGTAACCCTAATGCCCAATCGGCAATACCGCTATTACTAGCTGCGACGGTCTGATTGTTTATTGCTAGATTTTGACCCATGTCCCCACGTTCATCTAAAGTTATCTCTACTACAGTCATATTCGTCAATGAGTTCTGACGACCTGTACCTGCAGTTACAACTAAACTAATTTCTCTTCCAAGGTTAGCTAATTCCATTTTCTTCTTCACCATTAACGCTCCAGTGGTTCGGTTTATCTTAAAGTACGGGTTTTGTGTAGTAAGTTGATACACTACTCTACCGTCAGGACCCTTGTCTCTGTCAGTAGCTGTAACCTGCCCTACAATATGCCCAGCTGGAAGGGCTCCTGAAGATGGTACCGGTAGAATGAACTTGTAGGTTCTCTCTGTGAAATGTGGGTAGAATTCATCGCGACTTTCAATGTCTAGTCGAACTTTTACTTCAGCACTCTTATGACCCACATCTGTTGCTCTTATAAGGAATACATACTTGTTGCGAACTTCATAGTCGAATACCACGTTTGTGGTAACCAAACCACTGCCACTGTCAATATTGAACAACTTCCAAGCGTCATCAATCGGATAGTTATTGGAACTCACACTAGCAATGGTGTAGTTCAACTTGCCATACCTTCCACCATCCATATCGGTTGCTCGCGCTGTGAAAACACTTGTACCAACAGATTCGTTTTCTGCTACAAACTCGAGGTATTCTTGAACTGGGAAGCTAGGTTCATTATCGTTGGCATCTTCCAACGTTACTTGTACGATTGATAATGAACACAATGGCAGATGGACTGAATCACAGGCATGCACAACAAGTTTATAAGAAGTATGGCCTCTATCATAATCCAACACTTTTGCCACTTTAATAGTACCATCTGCTTTTACAATCTGGAACAATCCCTCATCGTTTCCTGATGTCAGTTCATAGACAACCAATGAGTTCTTTGTATCAGGAGCATCGTCATCAAGAGCAACTACTTTGATAATGGTAGCATCAATTGGGGTAGCTTCACTTATTGCAACGCGGTAACTGTCATCGTTAAATCGTGGGGCATTATCATTTATATCATCAATATTAACATCAAGCGAGATTTTTCTACTTCCACTCGCAATGCGTAACTTAAAGATGTCTTTCATTTCCCTATCAAGTTTCTTCATCACCAGCAAGGCTCTATTTATGATCATAAAGTGTCCTTCATCATTGCCTTCAATTATATCGTAAAACTATCAGATTCTGGCAATGTTAGAATTGTTGTACCTAGCGTCGCATTTTCAAAGACTCGAGTTTTTAATTCACTGCCATCGTTCGCGATTGTGTTGACTTCACCATGACTGGCGCCATTGATGCTCACACGTGCGACAGTGCTACTTTTTAAGGAAGGCGATCCAAAATCTTCGACGTTAATTGTGACATAACTTGATTTTACATTTTGGAAATTCGTTGTGTTTGCTTTGAGGATGCCATCAAATCCAATAAAGAATCCAGGTGTTGCAGAAGGTAATGAATACTTGATTCGTCCATTGTCTCCTGAATCCGCATCGGTTGCATTGACAGTGATGACATCATGAATATTAGCATTATCTGTTACGCAAACAAAGCAATTAATCATTCTATCAAAGCAAAACGTATATGTGTACTTACCAAGTGGCAAATTAGCTTCGTATGCAATCTGAGTAAACCTTGGAGGGTTATCATTGACATCAGTTACTCGGACAGTCAAAACAGTTTCCGCCTGATGAGCTTCATCCGAAGCAATAATGTTCAGTTTATATTCGTTCAAAGTTTCAAAGTCCAGAGCACGTTTTAAGATTACTTTACCACTGAACCGATCAATACTGAAGTTTTTTAGGGTTTGGGAATCCATTTGTGGTGCGAATGAATAAACTAGAGCTGGACTGGTATCTACGTCATTGGCTGTAATTGTTGTTAGGACTGTCCCAACTTCCGTATCTATAACAAAATTATTCACAATGTTTAAATTCAGAAATAACAACAATCTTGCAAATAGCTTACCTTCAGGAACTGTAATAACACTGTGTGGTGGAAAAGTGGGTTGATTATCATTGACGTCAACAACATTTATCCGTATCCTAGTAGTTCCGGTCATTTGGGGGACACCTTCATCGATTGCAATCACAGTAAGTCTATAAGTATCCCTGATTTCTCTATCTAACACAATGCTGGTTTTCAGTATTCCGCTAAAAGCAGGTTCGATCTTGAACGCATTGTCATGGTTACCATCAACTATATGATAACGAATCATGGAATTCTTTCCTTCATCAGCGTCGAAAGCGACAGTTTGCAGCACAAAAGTACCTTTAGCGTTACCCTCAAATACAGAAGCAGTGTATTGTTGTTGAGTGAACTTTGGAGCATTGTCGTTCTGATCTGTGAGTTGCACAATAACATTGCAATAACCATATAAGATAGGATTACCCTCAGATCGTGCCGCAATTACTAAATGAATTTCTTTGTTAACTTCGTAGTCTAAGAGTTTTGGATTAGCAACTTGAATTACACCCGTTTCTGAATCCATGAAAAATCTGTTATCATCGTTACCACTGCCAAAAGAGTAGTGGGCACGTTGCCGACGACCATCTGATCGCACAGCAGATAATTGTAAGATTTCTCGGTAGGGTTCCGCATTCTCAGGAATAGTCACTCTATACGTAGAATTTTGAAATGTTAATTTTGGCATGTTTTCTGGAAGATCACCAACGACCAACTCAACAAGACCATGAGCAAATTGTGGTGGATTGCCCTTATCAGTAGCGAGGACATTCAAATGAATCGTTTTAGATAAATCACCAGCTAGGCTCTGTGTTGCACTAATAACCCCAGTATTTGGATTAATAAGAAACTTCCGTTTGTTTCTTCTTTTGGTGACAGACTATAAACGATTTCAGCGTTGGTATCTTCATCGTCATCAGTTGCGGTGACTTTTACCAAAGCCTGACCGGGTTGTACAAACGGAGTTACCTTTTCTCGATACGGATACTTTACGAATCTAGGTTTGTTATCATTGACATCTCCAATAATAACTTTCACAGGAACTCTTTGTGATCTGGCATTTGATTTACCATTATCTGTAGCTACAACTTGAAAGTTGTACTCAGCCTGTCTCTCCCTATCAAAGTGTCCTGCAGTGGTAATAATGCCAGTTTTGTTGTCAATTCTAAACAGCCACTGGCTTTCGTTAGCTATAGAATATATAAGTTTTGCGTTCACACCAATATCAGCATCAGATGCCTTTACTCGCATAACAGATGTATCAATTGGTACATCCTCATTGATATGTGTTGTGTACGTAGGACTATCAAATTTCGGATCGTTATCGTTTAGATCTTCAACCCTGACGGAAATATTGCAGCTATTTTGATGAGATGGTGTTCCTCTATCTTGAACTGTCACTGTTAAATGATACTTCGATTGTGATTCTCTGTCCAGGCTCTTTGCCGTGAGCTCTCCTGTTGTTGAATTGATGAAAAATTTGTTCCCATTGTTTCCACTAGTTATTGAATAAACAAGGACGCCATTGTTGCCCACATCCGGATCCATTGCTACGACTGTATGCACAATACTCACATCACTGTTTTCCGGAATCGATAACGGATAGCAAGCAGTCGCTTTAAATTCCGGCGCGTGATCGTTCAAATCCAACACGGAAATCTTCAGCTTGGTCACGTCGAAATGCTCGTCCTTGCGATTTGCGTCCGTCACGTACACGGGCAGATAGTACTCGGCGCGATTCTCACGATCCAACGGTTTTGCCGTGGAGACAACGCCAGTGGACGCATCGACGACGAACGCGTCGTCCGCTAGGCCGTTCGGTATGAAGAACGTAAGATTGACGTCTCGATCCGAGGCGGTCTTCGTGCTCAACCTGGTGACGAACGCGCCAGGCGTCGCGTCTTCCGCGATCTCCAGATGATACACGTCGGCGGTGAATCGCGGCGGTGTGTCGACAAAGTCTTGCAACGACAGCTTCAAAGCAATCCGTGTGTGTCGCGGTGGATTGCCATGATCGCTTGCGGTTACGTTGACATAATGGAGAAGATTGGATGCGTCGATAAACTTCGACAGTGTGAGCACACCAGTGTCATAACCCAACGAAAAGTACCCCTGTTCATTTCCTCCTGATATGACATAGGAAATTCTTGCGTTTTCGCCGGAATCAAGATCCACCGCCATTAGGTGCGCCACTGGCATTCCAATCGAAGTATCACTGGGAAAGTAAACGTTGGCACTTGATGGTAAGACAAATACCGGACTGTTATCATTGATATCATTCAAAGTAACTTTTGCGGTAACGGTAGTTGACAAACGTTCGGATACATTTAAAGATTGATCAGTAGTTTGGACAATCAACACGTAATCTTTTAAAGTTTCATAGTCCAAACTTTGGGTCACCAGGAGTGTGCCAGTAAGTGGATCAATTGTAAAACCTCCTTTATCAGGATATTGTTTGATTAATTTGTATCTCAAATCACCATTACTACCAGAATCCGCATCAAAGGCACTAAAATTATACACTGCACTTCCCACAACAGCGTCTTCATCAAACCTAATCATCATTGGGTCTTCAGGCCATTGTGGAGCATTATCATTAGCGTCTGCAATATCTACCCGAACTGTCACCGCACTGCTTTGTGGATTGTTCGTTGCACTTGTGTCCAAGGCACGTACTTCCAGACGATATTCGGCTTGCTTTTCCCGATCCAACCTACGTGCTACTACTAAAGACCCTGTACCACGATCAATATCAAATGCGTCCGGTAAACTGTCTCTTCCCAATGAGTTTAAAACATAAGTAATTTGGCCGAAATTGTTTAAGATCACATTGCTATCGTCTAAATTATAGGTAGGTGCAATTGACCCTACCACAAATCCAATATGGACATCTTCACGCACACGAAACACTAAACTTGAACTGGTAAACGTTGGTCTGTTGTCGTTCAGGTCCAACACTTCAATACGCAAAGTCCGCACGGTTTGTTTTGGTGGGGTACCACTGTCCGTAGCTGTCACTGCTAGTCTATAGATAGTTTTCTCTTCGTGGTCCAACATCTGCTTGGTTCTAATAATTCCGGTAGATGGATCAATAGTGAAGACGTTTTGGCCGTCAGAGTCTCGATTTTTCAAGATGGCGTATGTTATACTAGCATTGTTGCCCTTATCAGCGTCCACAGCACGTACTCTAACGACTTCAGTACCTAAAGATACACCAATTAATTATACAACTTGATCATTTTTCATGGACAGTAATTTACCTGGTGGTTGTTCCTCTCGCACACTGATGACATCTTCTTGTGGATCTACAATTTCAGGTGCGTTGTCGTTCACATCCAAGACGTGAATTCGCAGTGGTTGTCGTGAATTTCTCGATGGTGTACCTTGATCACGCGCTTCAATGACGAGGTCGTAATTCTCTTTCGACTCTCGGTCCAACGTCGACTTTGTCGTGATGACACCTACAAAAGGTTCAAACTCAATAAATCATCCGCGCGTAATTTTAAACCCATAATGTCACACACGTCGGTAATAAAATCAACTGCGTGAATTATAGTCTGCATAATGTATGCCTCAGAGTGGAATTGACTTGGTAATACTCACCACTAATTGGATTTATCTGGAAACTGGTATTGCTCGGTATCAAGAAGTAGCGCACCTCTGCATTTGCACCGATATCCTTATCCACAGCCCTTGCGGCACCTACGAAACTGCCACGTGGTCGATTTTCCTCCACAGCAAATTCATAGGCTTCCTTGTCAAAGATGGGATCGTTATCATTTGCATCCAACACGTTGATGACTACTTTAGTTGAAGCAGATTCATTTGGTGTTCCATTATCAGTAGCAACAACTGTGAGAGAATATCGATCTTTGATCTCGCGATCTAAATTTTGTCTGAGGTATAACCATCCACTATTTGGGAAGACCCCAAACACTCCCAGGGAATCTGATAGAGTTGCATTGTTGGTTAAGAGTCGGTAGGTCAATCTGGCATTGTTACCCGTATCAAGATCAATGGCAGTTACTTGAATAATCTGTGAGTTTATTGGTAGGGTTTCCATTACTTTAACTTCGTATTCAGCTCGTTCAAACACAGGCGGGTTATCATTGACATCCTGAACTTCCACCAGTACAGTCAGATTAGCTGATAATGATGGTACACCCATATCGGAAGCAGTAATGACCAAACTGTGACGCTCAGCAGTTTCGTAATCCAATCTCCTTGTTAAACTAACATGTCCCGATTTAGGGTCCACGTCAAACAACCCACCAATGGCTGCTTTATTCACTAATTTATATCGAACCACCCCATTAGAACCCGAATCTCTATCTCTAGCATGGGCAGCATATAAAGGTGAGCCAACTTCAACATTCTCCGGTATAGAAATCTTCACAGTATTCGATTCGAATTCAGGCGCATTATCGTTGACATCTTCAATCTCAATATTGACTTGGGTGTGACCATAAGATGGCGGCTCTCCATTGGTTGCTTGTACATTCAACAAAACACTACCTCTCACTTCGTGATCCAATCCCGCTGAAGTCCTGATTGATCCTGTTACCGGATCAATGCTGAAGAGACCATCTGGATCCCCTGAATAGATTGAGTATCTGATGGCGTGTGACGAACCTACGGAGAAGACGTTTTCGCACATAAGCACAAGTTACAAAAAAAGGCAAACGAAACAAAGTGGTGGGACCAGTTTGGGATATAATAAATCGAATGTCGCGCACGGTATTTACGGTCAGCTGGCAGCACACACAAACCAGTCAAAAGATAATATTACGGCTGTGTGTGCCCCCACCCTCCCAACAAATTACCACGCAGGTCCGCACAGCCAGGAAATGAAATGAATGGCACCAAGCTGCTGGGACATGCTTAATGGGTATTCGATTTAGTTTTGGCGCTGGTGATTTTTTGTTGGTTGATTTTCTTATTTTTAAATCGCTTTGTGTGCGCAGCGCATAAATACGCTGCGCGACAACGGGTAATATATTATTCCCCAGCAACTGGTAGAAAAGCCCGCGCCCGAAGAGAGACGCATTGGACGCATGTCGACCGCGAAAACAATGACCACTATTCACTTAGCATGCGTGCGCGCGCGACTACCGAAATGTCGTCTCTTCTCCCGATGAAAAATAATTGGACTATAGTTGGCCGCGGGGACGTCGCGTCGGTTCGCATGCAAATCACCGCTCGCCGCATGCTAATTAACCTGGAATACACTCGGACCTAAAGCGTACCTCTCTTCTAAAATACCAATTTACGTCACACAGTGGATTCGCGGCCCTTTATACGCTCGCATTGTCTCATTCCAATTGAAGCGCAGCGTTTTGAATCATTTTCGTTAATTAAGCGTGCAGACAATGGCCGCAGATGCAAGATTTCAATTAAATTCTCACAGCCACCCGCGTGTGTAAATGCAAATTTAGTGTGCGCATCAGATGCGCGCAAATGAACGTTATTTAGCTCAGAGCTGTCAATTATATCGAGTTAAGGGGGCGCAAGTTATGTGTATGTGTGTGTGTGTGTACCTGAAGAGTCGCCGGCGATGGATGCCTTCACAGAGCCGATAACGGTACCACGGCGGACGTCTTCCTTCACGCCGAACGTGTACCGCGAGTGCTCGAAGATGGGCGGTTTCTGTGCAGCATCTATCACGCTGATGAAGACTTCGGCGTCCGCCTCCGACTTGAGTCCGCCGCCATCACTCGCTGATATATTCAAACGATGGTACCTCTTCGTCCGTGACGACAACATATTCGGCCGTGTGACAAAAATCTCACCCGTATTCCGATCAATTCGAAAATAACCAGCATCGTTACCAGAAGTGATGCGGTACGTCAAGGTACCAAACTTTCCGGAGTCGGGATCTGTAGCAGCCACTATCACAACCGGCGTCGATGAGGTACCACCTCCTTCTCGCAAAGAAACATTATATTCTCTCGGGTAAAAAATCGGTCGATTGTCATTGGCGTCGGTTATCTGAATTTTGATCATCGCAGTGGTACTGAGTCCACCACGGTCCGTTGCAATCACAGGAAACTCGTAGACATTTCGTGTTTCGTAGTCCAATGGTGAGAGGATGCACACCTCACCGGTACTACTACGCACTTCAAACTCTTTCATGTTGCCGAAGCTATGGTCCAGTGTGTAGTTCACCATGGCGTTCACCCCACAATCCGGATCTGTGGCCGATACCTGCAAGACACAAACATCAAAATATTAATATATTTATAAACACACACACACACATATAGAGAGTGTCAATTAAATTCTACGTCCGCCACCCAATTAGGTTTTCTGTCACGAGCGCGAGCGCGCCGAGGAATTATTGATTCGCCTCGATCGTGGATATTATGTTACCAACGAAGAAGAAGGTATATTCTATGCCGGCGCGATAATGACACCGCGCGCGACACGAGAAAGTAGGAGTCCTTCGGCGACGATCTGTCATTGCTAGCTGTGGACGAACAACAACGCTGCATACATGTGTGTGACACTTTGATATATCATTTCGTCTTTCATGTTTATTACCGCAAGGAGAAACGAGGAAAGTTATTTTTGGTAAGTGGCGCCATCTATCGACGTGTAATGCATGACGTCACGCTTATTTCGGTTTAAGTGGATATAATTAATTAGGTATAAATGGTTGACGTCGACAGGTCATCTTGTTAATTTTTTCGTATCGGGCCGCTGCGTGGGCGCGCGCGCACACAAGCTGGTTTTTTGAACCGCATTGCTACGCGCAGGGCCGGATCAAACCGGACTGCAGGCAATACATGGAAACAGCGTCAAAACTTTTTGATTATTTACCAACAACACGCGTCTTCCTTAAACACGTCTATTCGAATCTATTTGTTTGCGTCGCGTGATTACGCGCCATTGTTTCCATTTGACAAACACAAATTAACACCGGTGTGTTTATGTGCACACGATTTTCAGTGGGTAAATATTGAACGCAGTGCGCTGCGACTGATACAAACATCTAAAAATAGCAAACAAGCAAATTTATCATTTTGATATGATTCGAGCGGTTTTCGCATGCTGGATGAATTGAGTAACACCTTGTATAAGCGTTGTTTCTAATTGCGTACGGTAAGCGGGTGCAGACGACGACCACAATTTTATTGGCGAAAATATTCCGTTGCGTTGTTTACCCGAAAATGGGTTCAGAGGCTTTATATAGATTACGTTTCGCACCCTGCGTGTCTAAACATATGCCATCAATGCATCCAACAAGAATGAACCAAGATGCCACTTCATTTGAATTATCAATATGCCGCTATGGCTGCTGGTAAGTTATAATAAACAAGTAAAAACGTGTTTTTATTTATTTATAAAATTATTACAGGTTCTCTCATGGGAATAGCAGTAGGAGCTAATGCAGGCTGGTCATCTCCATACCTGCCCTATCTACTGGGCGAAGACTCACATATCCCCATGACAGAAGATGAAGGTTTCTGGTGTGCAGTTGCATCCCTCCTGGGTGCCCCAATCGGATCGTCAATTGCATCAATGCTCATTGACACCACAGGCCGGAGAAGATTCATCCTTTCCCTGGCACCGATTAGTTTCCTTAGTTATATCCTCATTGCAATGGCCACGGATGTGTGGACATTGATTGCTGCTCGTGTAGCAATTGGTGCCACTGAAGGAGCTCTGTACATTGCACTCCCAATGTATTATGGCGAAATATCCGACCCGAAAATTAGAGGGTTTATTAGCTCAAGTGTATCCGTGGCCGCATTGCTTGGTACCATCCTTATTAATATTATTGGACCTTTCGTAAGCATCACCACGACGGGTTTCATATGCAGTGTATTTCCATTTCTGCATATGATCTCGTTTTGGGCAATGCCTGATAGTCCGTATTACCTCATCAAAAAGGGTGACCTTGAAGGCGCTAGACATAGCCTGGTCATTCTTAGGGGTCATAAGGATGTTGATACAGAATTAGATGAGATTCATATGGCTGTTACCAGACAGGAAAACACAAAGGATTCAAATGCAAGTTATCTGGACCTGTTTACAGTGACCAGTAATCGAAGAGCATTCATCATCTATTGCATCCTGTGCTTTACGAATAAGTACAGTGGAAAGAGCCCGGTCACCTTCTATACCACCATAATATTTGCCCAAGCTGATGGTATATTAGATCCGGTCCTTTCCACAATAACTTTTTATATTGTTGGGATGATCACAACGCTCATAGGAATGTGTGTCGTGGACAAGTTTGGAAGAAGACCTATGTTGCTATTCTCAGCTGTTGGATGTTCAATTGCCCTTGCTGCATGTGGCGCTTATTTTGCCTTGCAAACATTTGCATCCGGTTACGTTCAATATGTCACCTGGTTGCCTATAGTATCCCTCATAACCTACAACATGATCTTCAGTTGTGGGTTGTCATTTGGTCCGGTGTTATTCCTCTCAGAATTATTCCCAACATCAGTTAAAGCGAAAGCGTTGTTTTTGGGAGATACCACTTCAGTGGTGATGGCTACAACAGCCTCTAAATTCTTTCAGGTGAGCAGTGACCAGCTGGGAATGTATGTTCCTTTCTCATCCTTTGCAATATGTACCTTTCTGGGTGCTTGTATGATTTATTTATATGTCCCCGAAACTAAGGGGAAAACTTTGGAACAGATCCAAGTGGAATTGATTGGCAGTGATGTTTACTTAAAGGAACAAATTTATACTGATGAAAAATGCAAAGCTTAAGCTGGCAAATGTTTTATTTTGTATGTAGGTATTTATTTTTTATGCCAGCCGCATTTGAATTCAATGATAACAAAGTTAACGACCTAGGATAACAAATTGTATAATCAAACAAAATTATCTGTTTGCTTAGATGTTAAATATTATATAATTACATTTAACTAATGAAGTTTAAAGTAACCAGGCTCAGAATTTAGAAAGTGTTGTAACTCACAGGTTGGTTTGGTTATAAAGTTGCTAACTATTTGATTTTAGGACCTATAACTGATGATAATTGGTGAAAAACTGATGGAAATGTTTTGTAATTTTTGTGCAATGACCTTGCACCCGCAGCGAAGACATTGGCTGAGTTTGAACCAACTTGGTTGATACACATACATAAGTGCGTGTCCGGGCGCTAATGATCTCGCGGTGCCGGGGCGATAAACATTCTCCGTTTTGTTGTTAATTGTTAATTTTTCTTACGGGCGATAAGTGCGTTATAATGAGAGGTGTTACGTTGATGGATGTTGGTAATAAAGTAAACGGTCACATCTCAATTTAAAAAAGTCGGCCGGCGACGACCCGTTTCGGGTGGATGAGATAGCGATGCGCACTGCGGCGTGAACGGACAGCGCGAGAGCGTCTTAAGTGCCCGGACTTGTTTAGATAAGACGCGCGCTCGGGATGGCATCGACACCGAAGACCTACAACATCTACAACACCACAACCGAGACGTGGTGCGTTTTTTACCTCTTTACGAAAGAATAAATAAATCAAATCAATACTTGCTCCTTGCTCTCGGAAAGTCATAAACTCTCAGTCTAATTCTGCGTCAGGGACGGTTAAAGAACATGAGGCATTCTACGCAAATCTACGTCTGGACTAATCAGTAAGGATAAATTAAATTGGGTGATAAATTGGGATTAGCAGCACAAATCAATTTTAGAAAAATTGAAAATTTTAAAAAACTGGAACTGCATTAGATAAGGACTTAGTGCAAAAAAGAAAAGCTAAATGGCCGTATTAATAACTTTCTTTCCAGACTTCCTCTCCAAAACCGCCTAAAAAGCGCTTAGAACTTTGGTATGTGATTTTTTTCCACTCGATTGAATGGAAAACGCTCGTCGGTGGAACTTGGCACGTCGGTGCGGAAGAAACAGCGCATAGAGAAGTTTACAGTTAGAATGGGCCGGTCTTCTAACCTCGCGCGTTGGACGCGCCGCGCTTTGCAATCGCTCATCGCTGGAAAATATCGTAAAATGCACACGAGCGATCCAATCTCGACGACTTCAACTCCCGAAAAACATAAACACGCTAAAACAATCTCGATTTTGACGTGGTCGTCGCCATCCGCTGCGCGATAAATTAATGGTGAAGATTTTTAATTAAAAAAAAGTGAAATAATTCCCATTTAAATTCACCGATCGATCGATACTTACGACGGTCCAATATATTGCTAGTACTTCTAGTTCTATACTTATTGGTCGTTGTCGGTCGGTACTGGAATTTTCTATTAATTTCAAGCCAGAAAGTTATGTTACTCCTCACCGTCGGGCGGTTGTGGCCAATGTGGAGGTAATAATTACATATTATAAGCATTCTTCGATCGCTTATTGGTTTATTATTAATAATAAGCTTCGATCGATGAGACGATGTTATAATGTTCTTTGCGTTTTGTTTTATCTTGCTACATACTTGTACAAGGAGAAATATTTCTAGTAATCATAGCAGCAGTCATTAAAACATTATTTTGAGGTTATGATTCAAGAGCTATCCGCATGGCCTATGATATAAGTTTTGGATTCTTATTGGAAAACAAAATTGTTGTTTTTACTCAAGTTTTTCTCAACTTTTGAACTTCTTTAAATATTTCAAAATAAAAATTAGCCAAATCTATACTTTAGAATTAAGCTATTAAAAATAAGCTAAGTGTTACCAATAATTAACAAAAAAAAACATGAAAAAACGAAATAATTCGGGGGGAAAATTTATGAAATAGCCCTTTATGACGTTTTGGGATGAAAAATTGTGAGGCGGCTTTGTTCGTCTTGTTGCGGTTGTGGTGCATCGTCGTAAAGAATCAATATTTGACAGGTCGCCTCGTGGCAATTATGAATGAACCCCGGTCGTGAGCGCGCGCGCATAACAGCGAGATACCATTACGGGCGAATGTTATTTTAATATCGTTATTTATTGTTAATGTGGGCTCGCATGCGATCTGGTAATATTATATCGGAACGGGAATATCAGCTGACCGCGGTGCGCGCGAAATCTTGCAGTAACATTACACGCATTTTTCCCTCCGTGCGCGCCGCAGAAGAATTACAACGGGCAGACACGTCGTCGTACACGGGCCCTCCACCTCTTCGGGTGGATGCGATGCCCCGACATTCGGCTGCATGTTGCACATCGCGGCGCGGTAATAAAGTACGCCGCGCGCGCGCATAAATTACGCATTTTCGACGATGAAATTAATGCGTTTGCATACACACACACACAAACACGCGGCGCGCATGCAACGCGGCGGGGACCTAAACAATTCGAATTACGACCGCACGACGATGTACGATGTGCGCCCTCCCCGAATAACATCGGATTCCATGTCGGCACATAAAAATCCACGTAATTGGATAAAGTCAATATTATTACCATCAGTACAGACAAAACGATAAAGCGATATAAAAGCCAACTTTTGAGGTTAGATGTGAGGATGGCGGCCATTTTGGTTTGAAAATTCCACACTCGTGGGCATCGCCGCGACGCGGAATCCACGCGGTGCGCGCGAGAGAAAATAACGCGCGAGTAATTTATTTTCGACTCGCGCATACAATACTATTAATTAAAGCCGTTAATTATTATAACAGTACTTAAGCGCGCGCGCGCGCGCACCGGGGTGATGCCTGATGGCGGAGAGGCCGGGGCCCGCGTTTGACCGAAATTGATAGATCGTTACGGACACGACCCGAAAATTGAACACTTTGGCAACAAGATTTATTATTATCGGCGCGCGCGCGGCTGTGGAAAACCAACGGGTGTCTCATTAACAATTTCTTTTTGTTTCGGGGCCCCAGAGCTTACTTAGGCAAACGCGTCGTGAGTTAATGACTTTTTATTGCATCACGTTGCTAGCGTTTTTAATTTCATGCCAAAAATGCTCAAAACGCGCTTATTTTTTGTTACTGTACTTTTTTTTCAAACCGAAAATGTGAATCTTTTCGTGTGGCGTGCATAATCGGTTAGAATCGAATTTGATGAGCATCGACATGCTTCATTTTTTTCAAGAGTGCGCGTTGCGTGTTTGGATCGAATTAGTTTTTTTCCAAGTGCAAAATATTTTCAACCAAATTGTTGGGAAACAAAAACTACAGTTTTCGGAGGTGTTCTCATGAGACACGAGTGTTAAAATCACATCAGGTTTACTTTAAAACACAAGACAAACAAAATATTACAAAGTTACTTTTAACGATTTTGAGAATACATAAAAGTCTTCAACTTTACGACTTGAAATTCCTCGCTGAACAATATTTTAATCAATATCTAGCGATTTCTGACTTCTAAGGCCTGGATTTAAAAAGTTGCGAGGTGGCCGCATCATGCACACTGCATTAATCCTGCGCGCTGTGCGCACATATAATACCGTTGCATCGAATTATGTGTGCATAATTCTCGACGAAATATTCGAGATTTCCGTCAGTTCTAACCTCATTACGGCCGCGATGGCGCATAAATCACAAGAAAATTGTATTAGACGTCCGCGGCGAGAGGAGATTTATTCCGCTGTAACTGAGTTATAAAGTTGACGCTTTTTATTCGAGAGATCCGTGCCGAATTCTAGCGCAGCGCGCAAAAAAAAAAACACTCGCCGGGTTGTTTTCCGTTCTCAAGGCAGGCATGTGCATGTGTGGCATCTCGTGGCATCCACACACAGGATAGCCATCTAATGTTATAACATTCGCACCACTATCTCAGCTCATCTATCTTCGGCGTGGAGAGATGCAAAGAAGAAGAAAACGACGCGTCCGCGTCTCACGTCACGTCGCACTTGTACCCAATGGCAGCTCAATTGAATCTGCAAGCCAACAAAAGTCACCCGGTGTACCCGGGGTACGTAAACAGTGAAGAAAATACGAAATACCTTCCTCTGCGCATGCTTGACTTGCTTCAGTGTCTAATAAAGCGCATTATGCGTGCGCGTATATTACACACGCCACGGCGCGGCGTAATAAAGCCGCGCATGGGACTCTTATATCAGTTAATTGACTTTAAGTAGCCGACAAAACGTTTTCGTCCATTACGTTAATAAATAGCAATGCCAATGGCGCTGCCCGACGACTGACTCAAGGTTAGGAAAGTGAACTGACTTTTCGAGTCGAATTAAGCATTCAAATATCAACATCTCAGTCCCCGTCGCAGTCCCCGGCGTTGGTTTGGTATTCTTCAGCGCACATTGTGGCCGCACACACGCACGCATGCTTACATTCATTATGCAAATAGTTCTTATCTAATTCTCCGCGGAGAGAGCTTCCATCGTCGTCATCATGACGATGGCAGAAGCAAAGCTTCTAACGAACCACAACCGCACTTTAAACAAACGACGTGGAATTATATGTGCTATCTTTGGAACGAGATGTTGTTTACCAAATGAAATAACCATATTAGAGGTATTTTTCAACTCAAACTCAAATATTAGCGAAACTGCTAAAGATACACAATCAGTTGATGTGGCATTTGATAGATAAAGAATGCTGTAGTTTATTTTGCACATAACCTCATTTCAAAACAATCGTATACTTAGATTACCTTTAAAACTTTTTGTTGTGGTAGGCAACCAATTGTACAACAATAAAATTTTAGTTCTTTGAATACTTGTTTGTTTGAGTATGAAAATGTGTAAATTTAGCACGAAGGTGTGGAAACAAAGACGGTTTGTAACCCTGCGGTTGCTAGATCGACAGATCACGTCCGAGAAACAAATAATTTCTTTGCGAGAGTGCGGCAGGCTGATATCTGCACGACGCCAACGTGTCGGGATGCGCGTGCGAAGCTTTTCTCGCTTTTAACGCCTTTTCGCGATGAATGTATCACACGTACCGCGTCGGCAATATTGCGGTTCCACTCGACTAATTGATGCCGTGATTGATTAAAATTGGTATTGCGCATGGAGCAAGACGCCACAGTGCAGAAAATGAGCTTA